CCCCCCTTGAGAAAAAAATCATGTAAAATCACGTGATTTTTACCTTTTTGGGGGTTGGGCCCCCCCCCCCCCCCTGGCGCTCAAGGGGGGGGGGGTGCAAATTGAAAAAAATTTGAGGATCAAAAAAAAAAAAAAAAGTGCTCACTACCCCCCCAAAAAAAAAAATTGGGCCCCCTCCCCTAAGAAATCCTGGATCCGCGCCTGCATATCTCAGCCAATACTTTACCCTATTTAGCCCGGGGGGGCGGGGCTTTTTTTTTTAAAAAGTGTCCTCTTACCATAGCAAAAATACCGACACAGCGGACCCGACACAACAACACGATTATCTACGCGTATCTTTCTTGCCCCCTCGACATGATGACTCCACCGAACTCTTTCTTTTACTCCCACCCATCTTCTCCCTTTCATCCCCCGATTCTTTTGTTTCCTTTTTCTCTTCTTTTTGTCCTTTTCTCCTTTTCTTTCCTTTCTTTCCTTGTTCCTACACTTTTTTTTCTTTTCTTTCCCTCTCCCTCGCATTTCCCCCTCCCCCTTTTCTTATTTTCCCGACAGCAACGCAATTTTACTAAGTTAGTAAAACAATATCCTGACAAGTGGGTGGGGGGAGGGGTGTCGCACCCCACATCCCCCTTTAGCGATACCGCTGGTTGTTGTTGTTGTTGTTGTTGTTGTTGTTGTGATTAATGGCGTTTCCATCGTCATTCGATGATTTCCGCCAGGCAACTTGTGAGAGGGCGTAGTTACTGGTCCTCTCTTAATACTTTTACTGTTGGATCGACGATAGCCTAGTGGCGTTATGTTGTGCAATTAACAATGCCAGTAAATTGTTAGTAGTTATTTTCTGTATTGTTATTCGGTTGTTATCCCATTATTCTTTTTAAAGAAATGCAATTCCTCATGCTCTCGCACCTCTCTTCTATCGTCGTTTACTTTCTCTTTCATTTTTCCTTTCTCATTTAACTCCCAAAAATTCTCTCTTTACCCTCTTTTTTATTTTCCATCTCTTTTTGTTGTTCTTCTTGTGCTTTTTTTTTTGGGGGGGGGGGGGCTACACGCCTGGCAAGAGGGGCCCCGTATTATGCACACTGCATTTGCGCACCCCCGTCCTTTTCCCGGTAAAAAAACAACACCTTCTTATTATCACACCCCTTTCCTTCTTTTCCCTTCTCATTATTTTCCTTTTCATCATTTTCTCTCCTCCGTCTTTCCCCTTTCTTCAGTTTCCCCTTCCTTTTTCTCCCCTCCCCTTTTTTCTCCTCCCTCTTTTCTTCTTATTTCTCTCTTCCTTTTTCTTTCTTTTCCCCCTCCTTTTTCGCTTTTTCTCCCTTTTTCTTTCTCCCCTTCTCCCATTCCCCCCCCCTTTTTTTTACCTGGGGGGGGGGGGGGCAGGTACCCCTGGGCCCCTTACTCCGCTACTGATAACCTTAACTGATCAATAAGGACACTCTTAGGGGACTTATTGCTTTTCACGGGGGCGGGGAGGGGAGGGGGAGGGCCAAGGGCGTCAATCCGAGCATGAGCATGAGAGGGACACAATAACTTTTTTGTTGTTGCCCAATTCGTCAGGAAATATTTAGCGGCGATTCAGCCTGGCACTGACCAGATAGGAAAAGGGGTAATAAAGGAAAATGTGCTTTAGTTGAAAGAAAAGGGGCATCGATCAGATTAAGGGCATTCTTCAGAGGTGTAAATTAAGGCGCTTTTATAAGAAGGGGGGAAGTGGCAAGAAAAAGAGGCAAACGGGGCACTTATATCAGAGATGAAAAGGAAAGGGCATCGTTGTCAAAGTAAAAAGGGGCGTGAAGGGGATAGGCGCACTTTGGGGATAGCGCCCCCCCCCCCTCTTTGCGTACGCACCTGTCGGTAAAGCGTCCGTCTGTCGAACCAAATATCCCGGGTTCGACTCCCACCCAGGCGGATGACTGAAGCCTGCGTTGTGTGTTTTGTTATACAGTAATAAGCTATTGAAGGTTGAAGACATTTACTTTATACAGGTAGGCGCAATTATGTATGGTTTTGAAAATGGTACTCTCCCAAACTTAATGCGTTAGTACAAATATTTCGAAAGAACAATCAAATTCATAGCTATAATACAAGGCAGGCAACTGCACTTCATATTCCACGTGTAAGAACTGCTTTGCTCTGAAGACGCTGGCTTGTAGGCCTACTGGTCCCAAGTTTTGGAACTCACTTCCTATCAATGTAACTAGATCTGTCAGTGTCTTTGTTTTTAAACGCAAATTAAAATTACATTTATTGAGTAACTATGTCGACAATTAACGTAACAATTATATCACCAGAAATGATATTAAGTAATAATTTATTAATATATATTGATAACGTGCGTTGTCTTTTTGTTTTTGTTATGTTTGATTATTCAATATAAATGTCAGCATTTCACATTCTCTCTCCCCCCCCCCCCCTCCTCTCTTCTATTTTTCTTTTTCTTTACACCAAATACCATTGTCCCCTATGTACATATAACTTTCTTCTTTCTCTGTTTTTCTCTGTTTTGTTGTTTTTCTCGTTCCAGTTTGCTTTTTTCCTCTCGATCCTTTTGTATATATTTTCAAGCTATCCCTTTTGTAAATATTTCCCCCATATTTAATCATGTGTAGTTTTGGTAACTTTGAAACGTTTTAAAAAGTGAAGCATTGATAAATTATGTTATATGGGGATCTTGCTCTTACAAGCCCAGCCGTTTCTAAGGTCTCCACTTCCTTTCATTTGGATTATATATCGACTTAAAATTGCACTTAAATTGTTTTTTTCTTATGCTATTTTTGTTCTATTATTCATATCAATTCCTTCGCGCTCCTTTCGGGAGATCAACCGACCCGCGCGCATTTTATATTACATGACATATGGTAAAATTCTCGACATCTTTTTACACTTTTCTTTACCATTAAAAATCGAAATTGAGAATAATATCCTCAATCGAGATATGAGAAGAAGGAAACATTTCCTTTACATTCCATGTAAAACCATGCCCTTACTTGAAAAAAAACCTCCGTCACTTTGACGTTGAACTTTACAATCCATTAAAAAAAAAAAACTCTCTCATACACAATGTCAATGGATCGGTCGCACTGTGCTCGATTGCCTTTCAATAAACCAATCTTTAACTTTGCAGCAACGCGTTTTGCGTCAAATTTGTAAATCCTCAATCACAGACAATGACATATGATACGTAAGCTTTTCATACATATAAATTTCATTTTGATTGATTCATTTTTAGCTCCGTCAATTTTCATGTCAAATCAGGCTTCATGTCCCATTTTAGAAGCCCGACCCAGGGTTTTGTGCCAGCTAGCCCTGTATGCATGTACGTAATGCTATGCATACACATATAACTGAACATGCATAAGTACAGTACATGTACACACGCAGCGCAGCGCGTACGAGCGCACTGCACTACATTTCATTGGGTCAGTACCATTATGAAAATAGGGGAACAATGAGTGGGATGGGTTTAGTGCCGTCACAATAAACTTGCGCATTACACGCGTACGTATAATTAGAGCAATTTATGCACCCCCAAGAAATAATGAATACAGCCCGACCTCTCTACACACAGAACTGCACAGATACCGCACAGTCCGGTCAAGGCGGTACGCGTAGCGTTAAACTGCCAAATTTACAGAAATTGTGAGGAGCGCTTTTGCTATGAAAGGAATTGATATGATATGTAAAAATGTTGTGAAAGAAAGAAATAAAATGAACCTTGAACCTAGAACCTTAAACCTTCCCTTGTTCATAGACGCAGGTAAGTGGAAAATACTCCGTACCTCGGATAGGACGTTAAATGGAGGTCCCGTGTAGAGAAGAGTCACTATATCTTTGCACATTAAGAACCTAATGCACTATTCGTATGAGAGTAGGGGAAACCGAGGGGAAACCCGGTGTATGGTCCACCTGCACACCCCAGTATAGTACTCTGTAAAGAGGTCTGTACTCAAAAGGAAGAAGAAGAAGAAGAAAAGGAAATGGTCGGTAGGAATATTATGGCCACTAGCGCATGTTTGCTCTTCGAAACAAACGACATTCATATAACAATATTCAGTATTCCTTGGGGGGGGGGGGGGCGTATCCATGCACCATATCGACTTAAATTAGCTCCCGAGGCGCATATAATATCAATATCGGGGATTATTTGTTTTTTTGAATTGAATTGTTTCGTGCAGATATACTACTTATTTAACTAGTTAATAACTAGTTAAATGTTTTATCAATCTTTTAACTTATGATCTGTTCTGTTGTTGTTAATTACCATCATCATAGACAGGGCCGTAACCAGAGTTTGATGTTTGTTTGTTTGTTTGTTTGTTTGTTTGTTGTTTTTTTTTTTTGTTGGGGGGGGGGGCACATTCATGTTGAGGGGTCTAAATTTATTAATTTGAATCACTGAATTGTTTCGTGCAGATATACTACTTAACTAGCTAAAGGTTTTATCAATCTTTTGACTTATGATCTGTTCTGTTGTTGTTAATTACCATCAATGAGGGCCGTAACCAGAGTTTGATGTTTGTTTGTTTGTTTGTTTGTTTGTTTGTTGTTGGTTGTTTTTTTTTTTGGGGGGGGGGCACATTCATGTTGAGGGGTCTAAAAAATTTCAACCGATCCCCGTGCCCCCGTGCCCCCGTGTCCCCCGTGGCTATACGTGCCTGATCATAGATAATTTTGTCATCAATATTATATTTATTTTGTTTCGCTTACACTTAGTTTGACAACCTTTTATTGTAACAAAATTGCTGACTTATATTTCGAAATATAATTAGATCTTAATCTGATGAAATTCGGCTCAATATAAAAATGGAGGTCTAACTTTTGGATGGAATACAAGATGGAAAAGGAAAACAAATTTGGGTTTTCCGAAAACTTATTCTGACCGATACCATAGATTCAATAACAATCATAATTTTATTTTTTTATACACGTAGCTAGATTCAGCTTTTACTTTGTGGACGTGACCTATGCTTTTTGTTGTTGTTGTTGATCTAGTTTTTGGTAGGCTATAGTAGTAGTACGTCAAATACGTTGACGAGTCGACCGTATCCCACTAATGCTGTGTGATGTAATATTCCGCTGATTTATTTTATTTCTTTATCGATAAAACCATATGATTTGTAATGTGGCAGAAATGAAATTGAACAAACGTGAGTAGACCTAGGTCTAATTACGATGGCTTGGCAGCGTGACTGTGAGTGTGAGAGAGAGTGAGACGAAGACTGTCGAGTCGGCTACCTCAGCTCAGCTCGGTCTCGGCCATGTCAACCAGCCGGCCAGTCGGGCGGCGGCGGCTGCGCCGCGCCGACTCCGCTGCGCCTTTTACGTACATGTAGACTATTCTGTTCTGGTATTAGTTATTTCACAATGTCATTACTAGCTTGGGGAAATCGTTAGTATGCATGTGTCATTGTGTGTCATACATGATGTGCTATGGTATGATAGGGAGGCCATACTCGAGCCAAGGCTAAGCCAAGGCTTCTCTAATATTCTAGGCCTACGAAGTAGGATTTGTGCGCTCGTTGTCCAGGGGGCCGTTTCTCGAAACCGTCATAACTACAAGATCAACGACATCTCGCCACTGTCGCGCAACTTGTCAGCTAAGTGTTTCACGAAGCCGTCTTTGTCAAGATGAGCGACAACTTTCGCGACAAGCGAGTTGTCACTGCTCCGAACCTGTCGTATCTTTTTAATTGCTGTAAAGCGCCATCACAAGTCAGTTTGTTGCTGTTCCATGGGCCGCGAAATGTACGATTAGTTTCCCTATCATTTTGAGAAAAATATAGACAAGTTCGGTACGTAATTCTCTGGGATGCGAAATGCAAATGTACAGAAGTGATAATACAAATTATACAGAAATTTGTAAAAGCTGAATATAAACATTAAATCACAAATCATTAAACTATAAACATAAATAAAAGAGATAAGATTGTTAAACACCGTTGTCCATAGTCAATCCATAGTCTTTCTTAGGATACCATTGTACCTTTGGGGCCTATGTGCATTATTATTCCCTCTCTAAATACTTCTTTCAAATTATATTTTCAATATCAAATCAATTATATAACGAGTATTATGAGACTCTAGAATAAAAACTGGCTGAGAAAAGGTATTTTGCCTAAAATTCCTCGTCACAATAAACAAAAAAGTACGTATTGATAAACTATCACATTACGGTATCCTTCAACTACCTTTTGAGTGGATTGTCGAGAAAAAAAAAAACTCACCGGTTTTTCTTCAATTTAAGAATCTTTACAGAAATATGCAAATCGTTTCATGATCTACATTTGATAATGACACTATTTATTATTTATTTTAGGAGAATTAATATGTATATGTTTCTTTTTGAACAATTTTAGCCCCAAAACTTGTTTTGGGTTATTTGTGATAAATCAAATGGATCGTGACAAAGACTATGTTCTTGAGCTGCTAGTATCGCGATATATCAATATCATGTCTGTCATGGCTTTGTGAAACGGTTTATCCACTTCATGACATCTCCGTAGGTCGCCGACAAAGATATGACTGTCATGAAGTTGGTTTCGAGAAACGGCCCCCAGATCAAATGACACTGAGTTCCCATAGGAAATATATTTATTCAGATGGTCATATCTCAGCCAATACTCAACATACTGGTATTCAATTGGTTTTTGACATTTGGACATTATTTTTGATGCTCTTTTGAAAAATAAGGAAAAATTTGAGAAATTTGAGAAATTCTAAAAGTTGATTTTTGATGACGTCACACTTCACCACTCTATGCACAGGGTACAGATACATGTACTTGGCCTTTGGTTTAGGTCTTCTTGTCCACAGGGATAAAGAAGTCCTGTCCAGGGGGGTGTTTCACAAAGATCCTTAGTTGAACTTATCTCTAAGTTGAACTTGAACTTAAAAATTATGGAAAGCCGTTAGCATCTATGAAAATGGTTTGTAAATTTTTTTTTAAAAGGCATAAAATGTTGATTCAAATCATCCATATTTTCTACGATCAAGGAGATTTCATGTTCTTGATTTGGAGTTTATAAAAATTCTAAAATACTAGATTTTTCGCTTTTGAATATATTTTATTTTAAGGCTACAAATGGCTCTCCATAATATTTAAGTCCAACTTAGAGTTAAAATCGACTTGGGATCTTTGTGAAACACCCCTCTGATCTTTTGCCTCTAGTCGCTTCCGCTACTCTTTCGTGTATACCGCATATTCGTCCCCTTCCCCTATAATCAAGAATATATGTATCGTAAACATCAAATATACATGTATGCTACTGATGTGAAGGCTAAAGTGTTATCCTTTCATTTTTTAGGTCTTCATTTTTCCAGTATGGAGTACCCTTACGAAGCCAGTGATGAAGCTAGTGAATCAGAGCTCCTGGATAAGAGTCTATCTATGTGGAAAGGTTGGAGTGCTCTTGACAGCAAGTGTGCTTTTGAACCCATCCCATTAGACTTGCACACAGCCGCTTCGATAGGGCAATATGACTGTGTGCACGCTTATATTGCAAGGTAATAGACCAGTTCGTAGTTGACACATGTACGTACATGTATACATGTAAATGACCGCCCAAATACTCACAGAATTTTGAAACATTCAGATGTCGCACTTTATGGGCTTTAGAATTATCAATGTCAAAGGGATGTACTAGTAGGTACTTCGTGAAAACCTTTTGAAAAGAATACTACATATATACATGTACATGTTATGCATCATAAAGAATGTAGAGTTGGTGCATAATTATATTACATAACTCATGAACACATATCCAGCATATGTTCTGATGGATTTACAATTTTGTACAGTGTCCTTTATCTGCCAGTGTTCCAATAGTAACTCTGAAGAGGCTTATCGCGTTGTGTCTCAGTGAAAAAAATACACGGAGGCTCGGGGCGAAAATAAAAAAAAGAGCCCCTGTAAATTTGCATAGAGTTCAATGCAAAACAAATTTTAGAGTGTTATTTTCATGCAGGCAAGCTTGAAAAGTAGCCCCTGAAAAATATATATTTATTTTGTCCCTGTCGTGTCTAAACGAGCCTTTACATGACCTTCTTTCATTGTTGCAGCAGTGATTTCGATATCAACAAGAAGAACAGGGGTAGCTGGACGGCCCTGATGTATGCCTGTTACATCGGACACGACACCATTGTCAATCTCCTCTTGGACGCCAAGGCAAAGGTCGATGTGAGGTCAGATAAGGGGTCAACGGCCTTGATGATGGCAGCCAGCTGTGGAAATGAAAGCGTGGCTTACTTTCTCATTCAGGTATTATTTATTAGAATTTAATCCACTCACTCCTGTTACCAGGTATTAAGCCTATAGGAATCAAACAAATCAGTAGTTAGCGGGTTAAGAATTATTGTTAGTTATGTTCATTTTGATTTCTTGATATTGTCATGCATAAAGTGGGTTATTTGGTGAGTGTATCCAAAGGCTTGTGCAGTTAGCTTTCATTTCTCCCCACAACAAAATTATATTAAGTTCAGTAAATATCAGAATTGTAATGGCAAATGTACGCCTACATGTTATTGTTTCCACCAAGTAAAATTACTCATCTTCATTGCTCCATCAAATTGCACATGCATGGTTTTCTATTGGTTTTCATGAGTTTTGTTGCGTTGTACTAGTTGGGGTTTGTGTTTTCGATTTTCCCTGTATGTGATCTTGCTTTTCATTAAATTTACTGGAGCAATCATTTCATGCAAATCAATGTTTATTATTCATGTATTTAGTCACTTCTTATTGCTTTAATTAATTAATTTATTTACATATTTATTTATTCATTTGTTGATTTATTCATTTTGTTCATTTCTGCTTGCTTTTTAGTATTCATCATTTTATGAGTTATTTAAAAATGTTTTGCAACTTTTCTACTCTTAATGGGGTATTTTAATATTAAAATTTTCTTTCAATTTGCCACTTGTTCTGTTCTGCATGGGCTTCACTTTGATTACCCCTCCCTTCTCTCCCCCTCTCCCTGACTCTACCCCTTCTTTCACCCCTAGATGTTGTTCATTTCTTCCCTCTCTATTTTCTATTTGACTCCACCTTATTTGTCTATAATCTTTTCTTGTTTCAAGTCTCTGACTTTCACTCATTTTTTTCAAACTTTTTCACAGTTTGTTTGCCTTCACTGTGTATTGTGTACCCATATCTCTTCCATTTTTATCACACAAAGACCCAAGTCCACATTCCTCCTTTGCCAGATCCCCCCCCCCCCCACTCTCTCTCTCTCTCTCTCTCTCCCTCCTCTCTCTCTCTCTCTCTCTCTCTCCCCCTCTCTCTCTCTCTCTCTCTCTCTCTTGCTCTCTCTTGCTCTCTCTCTCTCTCTTAAAGGGCAATCCAACACTCCAATGAGTTGATTTGTATGAAAGCAGAGAAGTAAGATTAAACAGAATGGTAGAAGTTTTACTTAAAATTGGACCAATAATAAGACATGTATGAATCTTTGAAATATGAGATCATTGAATCCATGCAACTCTCACGTTGGTATGTTCGTCAATGGATCGTGACGTAGGGCGCGGATAAATCTTCTGTTTGCCGTGTACAAAAATATCATTAATTTCTGTTCGTCTCATCAGTGCGTTCTTCCCCGGGCACTACTCAAAATTAATTATGGATAGCATGTTATATGTCCTCTGAAGAGAACAGACCCTTCTGAGCCATACATTTTTGAAAAAAACTCAATTTTAGTCATTATGTGTGTTTGACAGAATAGGTGGTAGCCCGGCACTTCCGCCAATTTGAATCACCAATGCATATAGTGAATACAAATTTCAAAAATTCAAAATTTTCTTATTTTTTATCACATTTAATTCAAACTTTCATCAGTGTATCCGTACTTCTCTGAATGTTCTGTTTTCCTCGAGAGTAGTCTAAAATTAAAAGTTGGATTTCCCTTTTTTATATTCCCTGTACCTTCAAGCTATCTTCCTTTCTACTCTCTCTTCACCTTGTACTGGCTATTTTTGGTATGTTTTATTTTGGTGGCACCTCGCTCTCATTCGTTTCGCACGGCACAGGAAGGAGCAGAGCTAGAGATCGTTGATCATCGAGGCTGGACTGCCCTCTTTTATGCCACCTACAATGGCCACCAAAGCATGGTCCAGTTTCTCCTTGAAAATGGCGCACAGTCTAATGCTAGGTGTGTTTCTCGTTATTAAAGCCCCACCGCACTAATATAGCTACTTGCGCCCTCTAGATAGCGAACAATGCTTAATCAGTGACCATTGGTCCCCCATAACCCCCTTTTTCTTATGTTGATTGAGAGCTTATTTGATGAGATAACCACCTGTCATTGACCTTGCAGGGAGGTCTAATTCCTCCTAGCCAAACTAGTGCAGTGGGGCTTTAAAATCGAACCTGGTTCAATGTTAAACACTTGTTACTTGAACTTGTAATTTAATGTTGTATACCTACATTGTACATGCAAAAATGTCAAAATATGCCTGTAATTTTTTCAAGTGAATTTGTGTAATATTTGTAAGCAGTGGTACTAGTTACCACCCCCCGCCCCCCCCCCCCCCCCCCCCCCCCCCCCCCCTCCCACCCCCCCCAAAAAAGTTTACAGTTGGAAAAAGTCTTGCCAAAAAAGTATTTTCATAAATTTTCCAGAAACTTTTCATACCTGTGGATAGCTACCGGTATTAAAGAGTCTAACATTTAGGGAGACTTCATTTTGTTTAGCTTAACCTTTTTTTTAGGCACATTGTAGAATACAGAGGAGAATTCTCCTCACTGAGCACCGTCGTATATTTTGCAAATGCATACCATTGCACTTTAATCAGTATTGATGGCAAAGTTTTATCCGACAGAGCCCTGAATTGATTACGCATTATATTGATGTTTGGAACAAAATTACAGACTCACATTTTCTTAGCCTCATGTTCATGCACATGAATTGAATGAGACCATATCCTGAAGAACATGGTTGGAGCATCTTGGTTGCTTTTTCTACCATAAATTGTTTGTCGGGTATCATTTATTCCTAGCAGTGAACATTGCGTGCGAGTTGCTTTTAATATACATACATTTGTTGTTGTCGTTTTGTACGATTCAATCACACATAAATCGTCTTCGATCATCTTCAATCATCATTTTCACATAAATTTGAAATGAACAAAGCTTATTGCATATTTTAATAGTTCACATTATTTACGGCACTAAATTTATTCAACAAACAATACTAGTATTAACTTTTGTTTAAAGAAAACAAAAGATTGTTGTAGATTCCGGGTAGCTCAGATTATTTAATGAAAAATATTTCAGCAAACACTATTCATGTAACTTTGTTTGTTGTACAAAGTGTAATGATATTCACAATATTTCTGGGCCCTGCTTCATAATACTTGTTATCAATAACAAATGCTAAATTCTACAACAAATTGCTTTAAGCCAATCAAATGCCACAATTTCAGTAGCTTACAACAGTTATTTGATGACAAGTTTGATGAAACACGTCCCTGTGTCTGTTGTTTTCCTCTTCTTTTCAGGGAGCCGTCTTTAGGTATCACCCCTCTAATGATGGCTGCTGCCGAAGGCCATGAAATCATTGTTAATATCTTACTCGGAACAGTAAGTACAGCAAGTTAGAGATTAATCCTCTTTTTGAAAGGTTGTAGAGGAGGACACTGTAATGATTAAAAGCAGTTTAAGCATTTAATAACAGTTTCGAAAATGACCCCCTATTTGCAGACTAGCAAACATATTTTCCACAATTTATGACAAATTTTTTTCCTGAATATGGCCTCGAAAATGGGCTCTAAACATAACCCTTTTTTATTGCTTATGAAGTAAAAAGTCATGAAAAGTATCCTATTTTCACATTTTCTTTTGGAATATATGACCTTTTCCCTGAAATAATTTTTAGGGAAAGGAAATTTCTTATCGTTTTAAAAGTGACATACCGGTACTTTTTTTAAAATCCCTTTTTTTAATGGCGAAATTTTCAAACTCTCATGCAAACACATAGTCAACATGAGATGACGACACCATGCTTAGTAATACAATTGGCCAACAGTGGGGCAGTATGCACATTTGCACATTGGTTAGAGATGATGTGGTATAGTGGATACGTCACCAGACTGTGGATCGCATGGCTCACGGTTCGGGTCCCGCTGCAGCATTAATGTCTTTTGGCAAGATATCAATCTACATTTGCCACACTCCACCCAGGTGAGGTAAATGGGTACCTAGTAGGAAGAAATTTCTTGAATGCTTGAGCATCTTTTTATGGTAGCTAGGTTCATTAAAGCCGGGTAATGATATGATTGCAGGGCCCTCAGGGAGAACAGTATAAATACTGATGAGGCTACCCCGGGTAAACAAGACATTTTATTATATTAGATAGCTTAGACAGATACCGAGATGTGATTGGCTCAGAGCTCATCACGTGATATCGATTGCGAGGATCAATAATAATAATAATAATAATAACAATATTTATATCTATATCTAGAGATGCTCAAGGTGCGTACAAATAATTTAAATTAATATTCAACATATCTGTAATATTATTATTATTATATTTTGTATTTATATAATGCAGGCTGGGGTAGAGATCGATTTGAAGAATCAGAGAGGTGACACGGCGAGATCGCTTGCCCTCATGAACGGCCATATGAAGATAGTGAGCTTGATAGACAACAGGTGTATGTCGCCCTCCAGTGTGAGATCAGCGCCAGGTATGTCGCGTTGATAGGAGTAGGCTTGAAGTGGGTTGGTCGACAGTTTCCATGTGCAGATAGTCATAATTCGCTGACACCAGACCTGGTGGAAATACCATGAATTGGTGTACAAGTCTGCACACAGTTAACTTGTAGTCCACTTTTAGAACAGATATCCTCTCGTCTCTCGGAGAGTCTTTGGATGGTGCAGATGTCAGATAAGGACTTTATCATATGGGGAAAAGACAGCATTACATAAATGAAGCTTGATGATCATAAAACGGAAGGCTAATCCTGGTGATTGACAACACCTGTTATTGGGTAAACTCCCAAATGGTGTCAATTTCCTAATGGGACTCCGCTTTTATAACACAGTTTTCTGATGGCTGGCAATAGACCATTTCGTAGTTAGCACATGGGTCAAATGACCCCAAATATCCACAGATCTTTTAATCATGAAGAAGTTCCACTTTGTGTATTTTAGAATAATCAATGCCAAAGGCATGTATGTGCTTCATGAATAGCTTTTGTTTGCCCTCTTGTATCATAGAATGTACCGTAGGTGCACATATGAATAATAATTACATAACATGAGCACGTATTCATCTCGGTGGGTTTTACAATTTTATCACGAATGACCTTTATCGGCTCATACGCAGATTGGATCTACGAACTGGTCTATTGGTCAGTCCTGTACCCCGATTAAAATCTACATGTGAGACAGTAGAACAGATGTGCATTGAATATATACTGACATGAAATAAATAATACTGACCTAAAAGTAGTCTTTGAAGGGCCAAAAAGATGAGTAGAATTTCACTTTTTCCACCTGGAGCAATTTCATGCCACAGATCATTCTAAAATAGAGAGTAATTAGTATTCTTCATTTGAGACAATCTGTTTTCAGATCCAGTCCATTTTGCTTTAAAAATGGTAAATTTCTCAGCTTGTTTATCTTCTCAAATTTGAATCTTTAATAGTTTTTTGATTTTTTTTATGTGCCAGGGCTCGGTGACGACATAGATCTGAGTTCATCCGATGAGAACTTCCAGATCCAACCTCCCAGACCCTCCCATCTTCACCATCATCATCATCATCATCACCATTTGAAAGGTCGGAGTTCAAAGGTCAAAGGTCCCAGCATTCTTGATGGACCAGAAGCATTTGCTAAGATGCTGGGAGAGAAGAAAGCCAAACCACCCGACCTTCGTGGCACAGACAACGGTAAGTAGACTCCTAAAGCCTCATTCTACATTCTGGGTTAAACTACCTAAAAAAAATTGTAAAAGGCTGCTGCAAAATAAAATGACATTACTGATTAGCAGTGTGTGTCCAAAAAATATATGACTCGGGAGGGCTATTCTATTCAGAGGACCTATAATAATATGCTATCCATAATATAATATATTTTGAGGAGACCCATTTTCGGTTATTCAAGAGTTTCTTGACAACATGCTAATCATTGTCCTTCAATCAATGTTCTTCATCTTGCACATGAAGCAGACCAGAAGCAGGGAGACACAGGAGAGTCCGAAGACTCCGCCTTCTGCGTGTCTGGTGCCCTCACGATACGAAGCAGCAACTCCAGCTGTAGTAGCAGTTCGGCCGGTGGACTCGCGGGTGCGCTGGGCGTCAGCTGCGATGCCAGTCTCTCCAGTAACGAAGGCAGCAGCCTAGATCGGAGCGACTTGGTGCAAGAGAGAGTCTTTCAGCGGCCTCACCAAGGGGTGGATCCTAATGACCTTGTTGCAGGTATCAGCAGGATTGGACTGTCCCAAGCGCAGCAGGGAAGGACTGAGGATTACGTGAATCACTTACAGCAGCATCAGTCTCAGCAGCAGCAGCTTCATGTAGGTTGGAACCTTGGAGCCAACCTTCAAATCTACCCCAGCGATCCTGATCCGCATCGGCTCGCCCCTGCACCACTCCACCAACCCCCAGCTATCGGCTACACCTCAACGGTCCATCCGCTGCAGGCAGGCGACCCCAAAGGTCATGACATTGAGGTCAATCCCGAGAAGGTCGGTGTTCCTTTCAGTGGCCTGAAGGAGCTGCTAGAGAGTCTGAGCCTCACCAAGTATCTGCACATCTTTGAGGAGCAGGAAATTGACCTGAGAGTGTTTTTGACTCTGACCGACAGTGACCTCAGAGAAGTAGGAATCAAGTAAGAGAAAAAAACTCCAAGGATTTCTTTTTTTGTACTTATAATAATAATAATAATCTTTTAAAGCTTATCTGCCATAGTTTACAGGAGGGATTAGACCGCCCTGCAAGGTCACTGGACAGGTGGTTATCTCATTAACTCAGCTCTCAGTTAACATAAGAAAAAGAGGATCATGGGGGACCAATGGTCACCGATTAGGCATTGTTTGTTATATAGAGGGCGCAAGTGGCTACAAGTAGTGCAGTGGGCCTTTAAAGGCAGGCTCTACTACTTCACCCAGAAGGGATTAGGACACCCAGCGAGCCAGCGAGGACACTGTGACAGGTGGCTATCTCATTAACTCAGCTCTCATTTAACATAAGAAAAAGAGGATCATGGGGGACCAACAGGCACCGATTAGCGAAGTTTTCTAAATAGAGGGAGCAAGTAGCTACAAGTAGGACAGTGTGCCTTTAAAATCCACTCCAAAGTTAAACCGAAAATGGAAATTCTTTTTGCCCAATTGATCGTGAGCTAACTTGAATAGCTGCTGCACAAAAAGTGCATAGCTGCCTCAAATTTGTGATATAATTTACTTTTAATCGATTGCATACCGGAACTGGATGACCTCTGTATTAAACCTGAGGAGTTCCGAAGTGTTTCCTTTTTCTATACTGTTTTGACAATTGCAGAGCTGCCAATCATTATATTTTTTTCCCAGAATAATTCTGTGTTTTCTTCCAAATTATGGTTATACGTTTTTTCTTCATAGAATAAAGTTTTATATTTTATTTTGTTTTTTAATTTTAATTTAATTTAATTTTTAAAAATATTTGTACATACTGCACGTCAAACAACTGCCCTAAAATGTTATTTTTATCACAAACTCAATAGAAAACATAAGGTTCAAGTATACTTGAAAACATACTTGAAGAGAAAAATATTCTCAAAAAGAATGAAATGCCGATTATACCAAAATGAAAAATACCTACTATAGGTCCTAAAAAAACAGCGTGAGGAATGGACATTTCTGCATTGGAAGTGTGTCGCACATGATTTTATGTTTCGTTTCAATAAATTCCTTTTTTTTTTACATTATGTTTCTTTTTCATTGGTCGCACAAGGTTGGCAGCTTTGCAATTTGAGCTTCATATACATGTATTACTAATTCCAAGATTATATTGCAGTTTGAATATACACTAATTCTATCAGTAAAATGGGTAAACTAATCGACGCACACGTCTGTGCTCGCAAATATTATGGTGCCTTCGGAACTCAAGTTTAAAATTGGTTCTGTCCAAGGGGGTTCATATTCTTTACTCTCGTCACACTCATTAAACTTATAACCCATAAAATGCATGATATTGTGTTTCATTGGTTGATTCTATACATTTTAGCCGTATACTAATTATTATCGTTCTTACTATTAATAATTATTGCGTCCATTGTCCCATGTTCTTTGAAGGTTAATGGGACCTAGGCGTAAGTTAACCAACGCCATAGCCAGGTGGCACAGTCAAGCGGTACCGTTCAGCACCAATCTAGAACAGGTGTACGCGGACAGGGTGGAAACGGCTATGCAAGAAATGGCCATACAGCTGTCAGAGGTAACTGAATTCAATTCATTGTATAGATCTAGAGTTCTTTTATATCAAACAATTCCATATTTTGAGGGAAACTGTCTACAAGGAAACGGTTGAAGCGAGTACAAGACAATCACTGATCAGGGGGGTGTTTAACAAAGATCCTAAGTCGAACTTAACTCTAAGTTACACTTAACAATTATGGAAAGCATCTTCGAAAATATTTTGTAAAATTTATGACATTTTTATTCAAATCATTCATATTTTCTATTATCATGGAGATTTCATGTTCTTGCTGTGGAATTTATGAAAAGTCTAAAATACTTGAACTATTGCTTTTGAATATATTTGATTTTAAGGCTACAAGTGGCTCTCCATAATGTTTAAGTCCAACTTAGGGTTAAGTTCGACTTAGGATCTTTGTGAAACACCCCCCTGATCTGTATTATGTAATGCATGATCCAACGCTCTCTTTTGTGCCCTCCAAGTAGATTACTCTGTCATTCCTAAGAAGGAGCGACTGGAAGACTTAAAGGGGCACCTTAACTCTCACCCGTGTAATGCTGATGTTGATGCTAAAGAAGGATATCACTTTATTCTCTATTGCCCAATATCAGACTCTGTCCCCTCTGTGTTCCAGGCTTCATGAGAATCAACCAGTTTCCTTGCAAAAAGAAAAGAAAAAGCATTACTCCCTAGCTTGTCACATGCCTCAAAAGGTCACTTGGGATAGAAATATGTTGTTTGTACACAAATATCGCTTTCACTTACACTAAAAATGCACCTGTTTACACAAATTAAAACATCAAAGTGTCATAGAGACAAATAATTAAATTGCTTCACAAAATACTTATCTAATTTGAGTTGCTTTCATTGCTTTTTAGCATGAATTTAGTAGGCAGTCAATGTTACACTTAATAATGAACCCAGAAAAGTTCTTTCAGGGGATAAGCTTAGTTGATTTGGAATCTTGAGCGCTCCCAGAACTATTTTAGCTTTTGCATGATTTGCATAAAATCAAAATGGCCGCTTGTAGCCATGTTTAACAGCGCATGACAACTTGCGCAATATATGTTAACAGATCTACGTACTTACTGCATTTGCAAGGCTGTGTAAACCAGAATCAAATTGAACCAGATTTTGCTCAGTTGGCTATAACATGTTTCTTCTCATCATAATACATGAATAGGTATGAAGAGAAGAGAACAACTGGAAGAACATGTAGTCCGGGAGATAGAACTGAGAAGTTTTGTAGCGGACTGGGTCATTTAAATGTTTGATCACTTGGTTTAGCAGGCATACTCTTTACTGACTGAGCCGACTCCTCACCTCTCCTCTATATCAAACTCAAATTGTGTTAAAGACACATAGTAGTAGGCTCTCGTGGGGAATTCAACACCGTTCGGGTGTTTACCCAATAAGAGGTGCTGTCAATCACCAGAATTAGCCTTCAGTTTTATGACCAGCCGGCCTTATGTAATATACTGCGTTTTCCACCCATTCCCCCAAATGGTAAAGTCATTATCTCACTTTTCCCTCATCCGAAGGATGGACCGAAGTCTCCGAGAGATGAGGGGGTATTTCTCGATTGGCCTACAGATTCGCTGTGTGCAGACCTGTACATACGTTAATGATTTTTTATTCCAGCAAGTCTAGTAATGTAATGTAATGTTGTAAAGCGCTGTGATACACATGTATGTCTGTAAGAGCGCTATATAAATGCCAATATTATTATTATTATTATTAGTGTCTGCGAATTGTGGCCTTCTGTACATGGAAACTGACGAGTGACTCCCTTTAAGGATTCTTCTCTCTGATCACTCCATGATGGTAGGAAGAAAGAACATCCTGAAGCACCGGTATCCTAGGAGAGAAAACTGATGAGCTTGGTAGAAGACTGCCTCATGTAAAGGTCGGATCATTTGGTTTAACGGGCAGACGCTTTACGGACTGAGCCATGATAGTAGGAAGAAAGAACATCCTGAAGCACCGGTATCCTAGGAGAGAAAACTGATGAGCTTGGTAGAAGACTGCCTCATGTAAAGGTCGGATCATTTGGTTTAACAGCCAGACGCTTTACGGACTGAGCCGTCTTGCCTCCTCTTCTTTATACCAAATTCAAATAGTGCTCACCTTTATTCTCTTGTAATGCTTTAGGACAGTGGGAAGAAAGGAGTGCCGGAAGCACAGGTACTCCGGGATAAAGCACTAGCATGCGTGGTACACGAATGCCCGATTTAAATGCACAGATCAATCTAAGTTTCCTTTCTCTTTTCATTACAGGATAGCATGAAGAAAGAGCAGCTGGAAGCACAAGTACTTCAGGAGAGAGAACTAAGGAGCGTGGTAGAGGGATGCTTGATGGAAGATAAGAAGATCTACCAGCAGATGGTATCCATGGTAACGGACACCAGCAAACTGTGTCATCGCATGAGGCAGCTCTATGATAATATGAGGTAATAATGAGCTAAGCGTTCCTGGAGGGTGTTTCACAAAGATCCTAAGTTGAACTTATCTCTAAGTTGGACTTAAAAATTATGGAAAGCCGTTAGCATCTTTGAAATTATTTTGTAAAAGCTTTTTTAAGAGGCATAAAATGTTGATTCAAATCATTCATAATTTTCTATTATCAAGGAGAATTCATGTTTTTGATGTGGAATTTATAAGAAGTCTAAAATACTTGAATTTTCGCTTTGAACATATTTTATTTTAAGGCTACAAATGGCTCTCCATAATATTTAAGTCCAACTTAGAGTTAAGTTTGACTTAGGATCTTTGTGAAACACCCCCCTGGAAGAACATGTAAGAGGAATTAAGAGGGTGGTTCAGTGCCCCTTTAAGGCACCTCATCAAAACCAGTATTCTCTCCAAACACAATTGAAACATATCTCTACCGTCTACAATTCTGAATCTGTCTTTAGACTTAATGACAGTGCCTTGTATCACCTGGAAAAGGCGTTGTTTAAATCCAAGTATTATTATAAATATTATTATTATCATTAATATACATGTAACTATCATCATTTTCAATATTTTTATTATCATTATTATCATTTGTATTATTAGTATTATTATTATTAAAATTATCGTCATCATTATCATTATTATTAATAGTATTAATATTATTATCATTATTATTAAAGTTCATCTCAAAACTTACAAAGAAGTATAAAGACCACTAGTCGTAAGAAAAAAGCCTATAGGAGGTATGTTTTATAAAGTCTATGTTATTAATCACACATGTAACCATCGATGTTACATGACAAAATATTAATACAAAGACATTACAAAGACAACAATTGAGAAAATAATTATGAAGGTGTGCAAAATCAGAAAGGCTTAGGTGAGAAAATCATTTTTATTTTGTTTTTCTGAAAGTTGTACATGTATTATGTAATGGAGTTTTCCATCTTCACAACTTTATATTTCGACTCTCTTCTACCCTTAGATGTTACCAAGTAGAGTTGATGAGGCGTGTTCAGTCAATGCCCCTGCTATCGAGAAGAGAAAGTGATTCAGGAATGAGCTCCGATGGGCGTGGCGGGTCACCATCCTCATCATCAGACATCGTTCGCTCCATCATGAGTAGTCCTGTTCTCAGAGGTACAGTGGTCGGCTCCAGTCATTCAAACGAGCCAATGGGCTCTCCCGTACGAGACGGCAGTAGACACTCATCTGTAGAACAAGCCCTCTCATTGGACAATGATAATGTTGAACTCAGGAAGCTACCAATGGTAGACCTTGTTGAAATGCTGGGTCAGCTGTCGCATAAACTCGGTCGCATCGTTGCCATGGTGACCAATAATATGGATAAAATCGTTGATGGACAGAGCGCATTCTCACCAAATTCAAGTGGTAATTCACTGCCATGACATGTGTGGCACTACATAATCTTCAAAATCCTTCAGAAGTACATAGTTGTTATTGAGTTTTTAACATAATATGCTATGCAAGAACATGCATGTGCACTACACAGCTGTGAGATGGCAAAACATTGTATCTACACAAAATGTCTTTGGGAGATAATCGAGTTTGAAGTTTTGAAGGAGGACATCAGTTCTTTTAGTTTTTGTATTTGATATCTGATATTCTGCATGATAATGACCACCGATGTCAAAAATTTTCCTACTTAATCCCTTAAATTACGATTTATTTACATAGGTGTAGAAGATACATTGTTTTGCCGCAAGTACGGTGCCAATAGGTTGATGTGGCAAAAAAACGTATGTCCTAGAATTGATATAACACAAAGGAACAATCAAGGTAATTCGTTTTTCTGCCATATAAGAGGATGTGTTTGTACGGCAAAACAACGTATGTCAAACATATGTTTTTCTGCCATCTCAACCACGAACGCCCGTTGAGAAGGAGAAGAAGTCAACTTACATGTACGTTGTTCTGCCATCTCAACCACGAACGCCCGTTGAGAAGGAGAAGAAGTCAACTTATGTTGTTCTGCCAGCAAAACAAGAGGGTTTTTTGGCAGGGAAGAGGGGTAAATTCTTGGTAACGGGGCAATTTCAAGTTCCAGGAATTACAACTCGGAATATGCAAAAAAAGTTAATTTGCCCCACAATTCTACTTACCTTGTTTTGCCATCTCACGACCATAGAACTACTACTACTTCTACTATTAAAAACAATAGTGAGCATGTGCATTGCTTTATTTCTGTCAAATATGACACTCCCGAGTCCTGGTGCAGTTGTGAGAACTGAGAAATATGGTATAACTGTTGGCTTACATCTACCGTGTGAGTCAAAAAAAAGTTGACACCTAGAAAAATGCTAATTATTTTTAAAATGACCTATGGACAGTAAATTATTATACATCTTATGAAAGAGTGTTTTATCCCAAATCATCTGGTATCATTTTTGTGTGGTATGTGTTCACGATGAACATGAAGCATTGTTTGCGAGAGTGCAAAAATCGACTTGCGCCAAAGTGATGCCTACAGTATGTATTATGTTGGGATTAGCGAAGTGAGAAAATGAATTGAATGTATCAAATGAAATGCAATGCATATGCTTTTTGCAGAAACAAAGTCACACACACACACACAAATGATCGTTGATATTTGATATTCGATATTTGATATGTGTGGCATGATTAATTTTGTTAGGGATATTATTTGGATCTGCAAAGACCGTATTAATACCCAAATCCCAATTGTTTTATTCAAACATCACATAAGCAACTTTGGCGCAAGTCGATTAAGACAAGAACTTATCAACCTTGAACAGTTTTATTACCAGTATGTATACATCTATGTAAGTATGTACCTATCTTATTAAATTATGAGAGAGTTGCATGGTTAATTGATATTTGTGCTGATGGCAACCACTATAGCCCCGCATTGTATTAAAGCTTCAACCCGATGCATGGTTCAAGCGTTAGTTCCAAATTGGGTTGAACCACAAGGGATAGGCTTTTTGTTTTCATTGTGATATGTCACCACTAATTCCATCCATTCCTAAACTGAATTTAGGGCAGAGGCATATAGGAGATGCAGTTGCATTTGTCTTGTTGTTTTATCATTTCTGTACCCATTTGTTATGATTGTATATATTTTTGTATTTTTAATATGTAAAAAATAAAAAAATTGTGATTCAGCCTTTGGGCCCGATGAAATGTTATTAATAAACCATTTCAATTAAATTCATTATTGATTGATAAAATCAGTTGTATGTTTTAGCATATCACTCTGAAGGTATTATGTTAGTGTGGTTTCAGAAGAATGCTTCAAAACATGCTTTAAAAAATGAATGTCAGTTAATACCAACAACTGTTTTCGTTTTGTTTTTCTTCAAATTGATAGATGGCCCTCGAGAAAAACAACAATTTCTTGAAATTTTATACCATACACTCTTAATTTGTCGGGTAAAACAAAAAATATATTTTGTGTCATATTTTGTTCATTATGGTCTCTAAAATGAACTTATACCCACGTGCCCGAAATGAGGGAAATAATAGCCAATGTGTGTGTCTGTTAATATTGTAGTAAAAAAAAGATGGCGGTTTGGTAAAACAACGATATTATCCAAACTGGGCTTGAAATTACCTTCACGTTGGAAGGACACTGCATTAAATTATAGCAAACGTACGTTAATTAACAATATCATAGTTATACTTTGTCGTTATAAATGTTTCTTACATTTCTTTTTAAATTTCAGTTGTCTTGAATATTTTAATTGTTCGTATATTGAATGTATAAACCATGACATATGCCCGAGTACCACATTTACTATTGACAACGTCCAACCTCTATTGTCTAAAAGGGGGGGGGGGGGGGGGGGGTGATCTGTGAACACTTGTGTATTCTCATAAAGTTACTGCTTTAACCCTAATGAGGCCGGGTGGGGGGGGGGGGAATTATGCAACCAATAAAAGTCATAGAATTCTGATTACATAGCACACATAAAACACACGGAGCGCAATATATATCTCATTTATTATTGGAAAATGGAATGAAGATCAAACGATTTTTTGTGAGCCTTTGTTTAATTTTACAATTTACCTATACCAAACCATTCTTCTTTAAGGCCCGGTCACACAGCCTTTCGCGTCTGTATCGCGGGTAAAATTTCGCGATTTTTTTTTTGCCCGCGGTTGCCCGTGGTGGAAAATGTGCAAAATTGGCTTACCCGCGGTTTACCCGTGGTATGCCCGCGGAACAGACGCCGGCGACTGTTCCGCGTCCTTATCGCGGGTGAAGCACGGCGGTACTGCGGCCTACCACGCTTACACGCGGTACACACGCTAATGCACGTGATAACAACGCGGTACAGACGCGGAACAAACGTGCTATGACCGTGCTCCACCCGCGATTACCCGCTAAAATTTCGCGTCCAATTCCGCGTGTAACCACGTCTTAACCGCGGCCGTAGCACGTCCTAGCACGTTCGTTCCGCGTCTGTACCGCGTCTTTACCGCGTGTGTACCACGTGTACCGCCCGCGATTACCCGCGGTCTAAATTTTTGGGCAGCCCAAAACTTTTTCGCGCGGCCAACCGCGTGTGAATTTCTTACCGCCTGTAACGACGGGTAAAGTACGGCTGTATCGCGTCTTTATCGCGACCTCAAAGCGTCCAACAGCGTCTGCTTCACGGGCAGAAATTTTTGGCCGTGATTCGGCCGCGATACGCCCGTGGAGGGCTGTGTGACCGGGCCTTTACATGGTGGGTATGCAGAGGCGGCAGAGCGACTTTTCAAAGTGGGGGGCGGAGGCACCAACAAAAAGGGGCACTTTCTGGAAAAACGGCACCTTCAAAGGGAAATCCTCAAAGCGAAAATATACAATACTTAGACATTGGTATATACCTGTATATTGTGATTACATTATCAGGGATGATTTCAATATTTGTTTCTCTTTTTACATCATATGAGATATTGCTTAAGCATCACACTTTGCAGTAGGGTATGATGGTCTGATATTTCATTTGCGAGCAAGGAAAATGTTTAAGATTTATGAGGTCGCAGTGCAAAAATTACATGTTATAAAGAGGAAAAACCCAATCCTGATGGGGTTATAACAGAGAGCTATATTAATATATATCTATGGGTTATAAGCACATTCTCATAACGAAAGACTAAAAAGACCTTTGATGAGTTACATAATTATATCTAGGCTATCACTACGAGCGAGCGAGCTTTGGGGGAAATTGCTCTTAGTCGCTTGAAATTAGGGGCACGTTTAATGATGAGAGGAAAAGGGGACACTTATCGAAAGGGTTTTGACACTTATGAGAAAATAAAAAGAAGCATGTGTCTGAGTACAAAGGCTAATTATCAGAGGTGATAATGGTACTTCTTTCATCCATGTCCTTCTCTTATATTATTCTTTGTTTTTTATCATTCTATCACTTTCTCTTTCTGTCTTTCCTTATGTTATTCTTTGTTTCTTCCTTCTATCACCTTCTCTTATGTTATTCTTTGTTTTTATCATTCTATCACTTTCTCTTTCTGTCTTTCCTTATGTTATTCTTTGTTTCTTCCTTCTATCACCTTCTCTTATGTTATTCTTTGTTTTTATCATTCTATCACTTTCTCTTTCTGTCTTTGGAAAGACAGAAAGAGAAGGTGATAGAAAGTAAAAACAAAGAATAACATAAAAGAAGGTAAAAGAAGGACGAAACAAAGAATAACATAAAAGAAAGTGATAGAATGATTAAAAAAAAAAGAATAACTTAAGAGAAGGTGATAGAAGGAAGAAACAAAGAATAACATATGGAAAGACAGAAAGAAAAAAATGATAAAGAATATAATAATAGTTTTTGCATCGGAGTGCCGCGCGTGCGCATTACTAACTGAAACACGCAAAAACATCACTGAGCTTTTCAGTCGGTGAAGTTTCAGCACAAGTGTAAACGGGTGCACGAAACATCGTGATTTTAGGAAATGAGGTATTTGACAGTATATATGCGCCTTCTCTCTCTCTTTCTATTTATCTCTCTCTCTCTCTGTGTGTCTCTCTCACTGTCTTTCTATCTTTCTCTGTCTATCCCTCTCTTTCTCTTTGTCTATCTCTCTCTCTCTCTCTCTTTCTATCTATCTCTCTCACTGTCTTTCTCTCTCTCTCTCTTTGTCTCACTAGCTCCCTCTCTCTCACACACTCTCTTAATCTTCCTTTTGTTTGTTAAACAACAATGATCTCGATCTTGATAATGACGATGATGATGTTATACTGATGATGATTATAGTGGTAATGCTAGCATTATAGAGTTCAAAACTGCAATAATACTAAAAGGAGGGTGATTTAGGCAATAAAATGTCTTAAAAAGGCAAACTATGATATTAATTAGAATGAAAAGAAGAAAAAAAAATAACCAAAAGTAATATGCACTTGATAATTCCAGTACATTTCTGGCAATTTCGTCATTTCTAATTATGATATTATCAAATCGGCCATGCCCGCAATGACGTCAAATGCGTCATCAAGCCACGTGACTGTATTGCCTTTTTTCGAGGGGCAGTAGCCTGGCAAGCATGAGAACTGTGAAAAATGGATGGTTATTATCAATTTAGAGATTTTCTGAAAAATCAGAGGCTGGCATATTAATAAGTAGAGGTGTATTCATGTTTTGAAAGGCTATGTTAGTGGCCCTTTAATTGCCTTTTTTCAGAAACAAAGGAAGAATGAGTGAATGAAAACTAATGTAATTGGAGCATTAATTTAGAAACTAATTTTGATATTAATGTATGTATACTGTCCAATAGAAGATTAATGTTCATTTAAAGTAGAAAAAAAGATATTGAGTAAATATGTAGATCAATTATACTACTAGGATATACATATTAAAGTCTTTTCTCTAGATGGACTGAATCAAGTGTGTGTGATCATGCTCATACTTTACCCACTGTGTACTCGCTATGACGTATAGGTGGGCTCTTTGATAACAAGGTTCGAGGTAAAAAAATTAGTTGAAACTAAGGTTCTCTAAAATAATGAGTTTGATACAACAAAACTGACCAATGACAACAAGATTCGTCCCTTTTATGGTCTCATTTATTTTGTTCTGGGTTATATCACTCTCTTTGATAAAAGTTGCCACTTTCAATAAAGATAATTATTAGTAGAAATAATCAATTAGAAAAAGAACATAAAATTGGTCACCATTTATAATTAATATTTTCTAATAACTGCTGTCGGCAGAGATTACATTTTTGATTAAAATTATATAATAATAATAATAATAATAATAATAATTTATTATTTTCATCAAACACAAAGCGCATAAACAAAAACACAATTACAAAAAGAGACAACATTATCATACGAAGCTTACATTAAAGGGACTTGGTAACATTGTTCAGATGAGAGATAGTGGTGCTAAGGTAGTGACTTCAATGCTAGATGTACAATTAAAGATAATCTGAAAATTTGAGTGAAAACGGACAATTATTCATGATACAAATTGGGAAAAACTGATCTGATATCGATTCCTTAATTCTCCCAACTATATTATTACAATTTAATTACATTTAGGTGAATGGAAATCTCACGAAGCAATAAAATGGCTCTACATTCCATTCCAGACATTTAAGTGTTGACAGATTTTTTAAAGCCTGTTTTATGTCTTTTTTCAAGAAAAAACGGTTGGGAAAATTCAAAAATGGTTGGGAGAATCTGTCAATCACTGTTGGAGGGTGTCGTAAATCGACGCCTTCAAAGAAAACCATAGATATCTTCGTGGTTTGAGAATTTGTTCAGGATTTTTTGCATGTCAGAGGGTTAGTACAGTAGAAGGAATATAGTAAGTAACATTTTATACAAAAAATGAAGCAATTTTTTTCACCAACCTTCAACAATTTTACCAAGTCACTTTAATTACAAACCGAGAGGAACAAATTTTTTAAAAGGTACTATGTCCCTTTTGCAGCCAACATCATATTCTGTAGAACTTTGCAGGAATTATGAATATGTCATGTTTGTCCTATCTGTGTAGTTTAAACATTAGCAGTGTCTTAGTATTCAAATTATGCAAGGAAATCCGTTTACCTTCTAGACTTCACTGTCATACACTATTGAGTGACTGACTGACATTTTTTTTCTTTGGTAATAACTTACATAAAATGAGCTGTAACAGGTACATGAACATTTTGTCTACATCTAGAAACCACTACTTGTAATGGCCAAAATTAAATTACTGATTGAAACTTTGTGCAGCACAAAATGTATGACCGATGGGTAAAAGGGTCTGAAAATCAGACTATTACTTAGGAGATTGCAATCACTGAAGTCGATTTGACAATTAATGGTTGTTATTTTCCTACTAGAAGCCATTTTCAAGCCCTTTCCTCTTCGGGGAAGTTCTAGATTAGTACTGTCTTTCAAATGCTGTTGGAATTTAACCTATTCATTTTTTGGCCTGCAAGTGGGACATAATACCTTTAAGGTCTTATGTATAGTACAATTATTAAAGGTAATACAAAGTTTTGGGAAATTTTGAAAATTGGGTGGATAGTGATTCTTTACAATTTTGATATATTTGGATGCCCATGTGGATGCCCACGTGGATGTCTTATAAGCACTAGAAAATTTAGCTCCTAAAACACTTCTGCTTTCGAGAAAAATTGAATATAAAAACTTACCGGTGCTCCCGGTAAATTTTGATAAATTTCAAATAGCGCCTACGGCTGTACACTGGTAGCTGGAACCATGAAAATCTCAGAATATGTAGTTGAAATATATAATTTCCAAACAGGAATAGCGAATCTGTCGATTTTAGTCAAGAAACATTGTTTTGTTTTTTAGCTTAATTAATATCTTGACCTTGAGAGGGAGCTATACAACAAAAAGAGTTTATTATTTACAATTTAGTAACTTTAGACTCGATTTCAACCGCGACAACGAGCACTGAATATTGTAGGATCGCATGTATGCTTCCAATATGTTCGTTTGAACGAAATTCATGACCCCATACCAAAACTTTGTATTACCTTTAACGCGTATATAGCCAGTGAAGATCGTGGTAAGAGGGGAGACGTGGACAATTTTTTGTTTACCAGGAGTGAGCCATGCTGCTTTATTTTGGAGGCTCTGAAGGGAGTTGAGACCATAATGCGATATACCATAGAGTAGTGATTACATTAATCTACACGAGCCAAAACAAGAGATTTTACAACTGCATGAGAAGAATCTTTATGAACTTCCTTATTCTACTAAGGTTACCGGTACGTAAGTAGAAATTAACAGATTTTGATACTTTGAAACATGATTTGACATATGCTTGTCAAAGGTAACACCTAATATGCAAACAGATAAAGGTAAAATGATATGTTTAACCCTAAAAACCCTTAAAAAAAAAAAATACATAACAAATTATCAAAACAACAGATAGCATTTGGATTAACCTGGCTCTTCCAATTTGTTTTTGGTATTATTATAATGGTCTAAAGAATATATGTATTGAAAACTAATGTTTAAATATGAAGAATATATGATTCATGGTTACAATGTGAATTGTATTACCTTAGTTACATAAATTAACCTAAATATGCAAATTTTTCGCCACCATCACCAAAATATTAAAGTTAAACAAACAAAGAAATACATAACAAATTATCAAAACAACAGATAGCATTCGGATTAACCTGGCTCTTCCAATTTGTTTTTGGTATTATTTTAATCGTTTAAAGAATATATGTATTGAAAACTTATGTTTAAATATGAAGAATATATGATTTATGGTTACAATGTGAATTGTATTACCTTGGTTACATAAATTGCCCTAAATATGCAAATTACCTAGTGGCACGGGTTTGAAACCAAGTCGATGCGCTAGTGCCCTTTGGTAAGGCATTAATCCTCATTACCAGGTCCATCGGAGAGGACCTAAAGCCGTCGGCCGTCTGGTTGCTTAACTACATTGTCAAGCATTTATGCTTTCTTAGTAAGGTAAATTAACCACCACCACCACCACCACCAAAATATATAAGTTAAACAAACAAAGAAATACATAACAAAGAATATATGTATTGAAAACTAATGTTTAAATATGAAGAATATATGATTTATGGATACAATGTGAATTGTATTACCTTAGTTACATAAATTAACCTAAATATCCAAATTTTTCGCGGCGATGGGGGGGGGGGGGCTTAGAAGCCCCCCCCCCCAGGCTATGCAATTTCAAAATAGCTCAGGCTATAAAGGGTTTAGATGGGACATGCTGTAACTGTTGATGGTACTTTTGAGATGCCGCAATCATGAATTCTGTCTTGTCCTGATTAAGTTTCAGTTTATTAGCCAACACCCATAAGGCCTTAAATAAAAACTTGTTGTATTGCCCTTTAGGTGCCAAAACATGGGTCGGTCGGTCGGTCGGAAAAGTTTTGTTTTTTTAACTTTTTTTTTGTCGCCCTCTTTGGGCCAATATAAATTCAGTTTTGAATGGTTTTTTTTGTTTTTTTTCCCGCCCTCTTTAGGCTGATATTTCTCAGTTTTTAATGCTTTAATACTTGTGTTTCAGAGTCATCATTCCATTCATATCTTTTTCACCTCGTAATAATCATGGTTTGCAATGTTGTGTTGAGACAACACTCTGTGCTTTCCTGCTGACGAAGTTGGTTTTCAACTACCTGTAAAACTTGCTAGCAATGTGAAGATTGTTTGGAATAATTTGATTTTATGCATTTATATCCTAAGTCAAACAAAATACATATTTTGTATTCATTAATACAAAAAATGCAAAAAAAATGTTTAAAAAAAAAAAAATTAAAATGCTGACCGTAGTTTTTCAGATTTTGGGGTCGGTCGCAAAGGGCAATACAACAAGTTTTTATTTTAGGCCTAACTGAACATCAGACATACACTGTTGCAGTTTGCGCAGTGTATTGTTGTATTTATATGAAAAAATTAATGATAGCGGGTGTCCCTCTTTTTTTTTCTTTTGCTGATTGTAGTAAGGGGCCCTGTTTGGACAACTTTGTGGGATGTCCTGTTTCGATATCAAATCAATTATCGATAGAGTAAGAGAGCATTTTCTATTCTATGGCCCTTTTTCTAAATCCCTTCCATGGATTCGATTGGGACCTGCTGGTATCTGATATCAGGTTTGAAACGAGCAAGCTTGACCACACCCATGAGGATTGCCATAGCAACCAATGTTGCTATCATTCCAAGGAGGAGCATCGCAAAAGGGTTGAAGGAAGCCACATCTGTGGTCACTGGAAAAGATAAAATATGGTAAAACAATTGGATGTGGATTAGATATTTTCACATGCGTATCCATGGGAACAGGGAATAACCCTCCTCCTCACCACCCCTCCTCCCGTCCCATCCACCTTTTAGTAGAAAATTTAAGAGAGGAGATATTCCAATACTTATTTTTGTCCTGTAAAGGATTATCAGAAGTGATAACTTTTTGTGTCTTATGAGAAAAATGTTACTTTTTCAGGTTTTTAAGTGGTTGTTGTTACAAAATAGTACATACCATTAGTAGCCATATCGCTGGTTGAGCGACGGATGCGAATCGGACCATTACTGATGGTCTGAGTGGACATAACGGACGAAGATCGACGTTTGCGGGCGGGAGGTGGAGGTTCAATGTCTGCGGGGCATTCTGCGTCTCGAAGCAATTGAGCCTCCTCGGCACCACAGACCTTCACTGAACAGTGAATATACACCTGAGAAAAATATATGATGATGCATGCATGCATTAAAATTCATTATTATAATACTTTCTAAACATCCAAACAAAAATGCTTTTTAAAGTTTCCGTAATTTTTATAAGGGATGTCCAACCTGATATTAAGTTGGTTGTGAGGTCCCCTCCCTTTTGCCATGTACTACAAATGTAAAAAATATAAATTTATGTTCAGAAATTTTCAACCATTTATTCCCCCTAAATATGATTATTGCAAATATGTTCTTTATACAATACCTGTATGAAACACATCTATTCCGTCACCAATAACTAAGAAAATGAAAGTTTATGAAATTTTATGTATAGAGCAAAATGGAGAGGAGTTCGCAAGGTACCTCACAGTGTTGAAAATTTGTGTTTCACTGAAGACAACTTCAATTTGTTATAACTTTCCTATTCAACTGGATATTGCTGAAATTTTCACTTATTTGGGTGTACTTCAAGGTAGGCAATTATAATCAAAGAAAAAAAAAGGCTTAAAAAAAGTCTAAAATTTGTGTATGTTATACCATAAAGCTCAGTGAAATTGTTCGACACCTCGGTTGCACACAGTTGCCATTCATTTACACGTACATGTAGGTAACTACTGAACCCAAAGACACAGGGCAGATATCACTCAACTAAGACAGAGATTCTACTTTTTATTTTTCTTGTAAAATACTCATGAAATTGGCAAACAAAATTGTAATAAAATCAGGTGTATAAGTTCATGCCATGTAAATAATTTACCTCAGTGTAATCCCCAACAAAGGCAAATGCCTCAAAAGAAAAGCGTTCTTCATTCAATCCAGGGAGAGGATAGAATTCAACTGTGTATTCATCTGGGCAACTGTAGAATCAATTGAAAGCGATGTACTTGAGTTAGGAGGAGTCATAGCCGTGAGAGAACGGCTAGTAGGGAATCATATAATATTGTTTAAGAATAAGAATATTGATAGTAGTAATAATAATGATAATAATAATAACAATAATACTTATAAAATAATGATAACAACAACACAAATTTTTAAAAATTGTACTATGATCTACAACAACGAAAACAACAAAAATTGTACTATGATCTACAACAACGATTAATCTTTATACTACTACTACTGCTTCTTTTATTTTGTTTATCCATAGAAAGCCTGGCTTATTTTGTTCCATCGTGTTTTTTTTTCGTCTTCGGGTTACACAAACTTTCGTGAAAAATCCAGGGGGGTGTTTCATAAAGCTGTTGGTAAAGTTACGCATGAATTTACGAATGACTTATATCTGAAAAGCCAAATGGGATGCTAAATCATTTTTAACTGCATCAACCAGGCGCGTACGCAAGATTTTTTGAAGGGGGGGGGGGGTTAACATTCATAAATCGGGCCGAAAATTTCGCAACGACTCAGCCAGCCGCTGAATAAGCAGGGGGGGGGGGGGGGTAAGGTCACCTTTTTTAGGTCAGCCATGGGAATATATATATATATATTTTTTTTAATATAAAAAAGGGGGGGGGGGTTAGGGGGGTTACGGGGGGGGGGGTTACATCCAGAAAATTACCAAAGGGGGGTTAACCCCCACCCCCCCCCCCCCCCCCCCCCCCCCTGTGTACGTGCCTGGCATCAACTAAAGTTGAACTGTGCAGATGTAGATTAACGTTCTTATTATAACAATCATTTTTATTGCAAAGTAGATTTTTTGCCATAATTTAATTGAGGTTTTTGGAAATATAGTCACATTTTGTTAAAACATCAGGAAAATGTGGGCATCCTATCTGGCACTTCAGATTCATGTCGTTCGTAAAGTCATGCGTAACTTTACGAACAGCTTTATGAAACACCCCCAGTCCTGATTCCCGATCGAGGGTCAGGTATAATGTTCGTGAAATACTTTCAACTCAACTCCAAAGTGATAAGTCCAGTTTACCAGACACCTTCTAAAAAAACTCATGTCTCGGCCCAACACTTTTAATATGGGATACATACATTCGTAACAAAAAAACGCTAGCGATCAACACCTCGTTATTGTTGATATCTTTTCACATTATTTGTTGCTGTTATTTATATCTGTTTGGCAATCAGTCAGGACTGAATATTTTTTGCCACTAAATGTAATGTTTTTTGTATTATATATCTCAAAGAGCATCTTTGAAAACATATCATTATTTGCGTTTAATTTACCCGACCTTTAGTGAATATTAGGGGATATTTTCACAAAATATTTTTTAACCCAACAACATGAAGCACACGACCTTTCGTGATTATGAGGTTATTTTCACGAATGTTTGTGGAACCTGACGTGAACACACTTTGGAACGAAGTAAGTCGAGAAGCCTCATCAGCATCAATGCCGATCTTCCTGAGGGCCTTCAAATAAGTATTAACCCAGCAGTAAACCAATTACCCATTAAAACCCGAGTGGAGGGTGGCAAACGTGGAGTAATATCTTGCCAAAAGACCTACATGCCGGCCTTGGATCGGGACCTCAACCCTTGGTATAAGAGTCAAGTGAATGAACCACTTTATCATCACTACATGATTTATTTCACGAGGCTCATGAATAGTTCTACTAACCCTTGAGTAATTAGAGAGTGTTGAACAGCAGAATCCATGTCTTGAGTGGTTGTCGCCCAGCAGCGATCAATAAACATACCAACACTTGCTACTGACTCAAGAGTCACAGCAAAGTAGAGGTCATCTCCTTGCAAGACAGTGGTGGCGTCCGAATTCAGCTCAACAAAAGCATTTGTCAGGAATCTTTGCAGGCTCAGACTGAAGTCACCAGAGCCCTTGTCGCTGAAGGACACCTCACCAAGCTGTGGTCTGAAGGATCCACTGACGATTTCCTCTTTCTCGAGGCAACATGCAACCTTAACCTGCATGTGATATTCACGGGTAATTACTATATCGTCGTCCGAGCCAGGCTTGGCGTAAGTGATAACATTGACGAAGGTAATTGTTGTGTTATCCTCCTATAATGACACCAAGTAATATAAAATAAAATAATGTTACGAAAACAAAAATGAAATCCAGTATCGCGGTATATTTTGTTGTAATCACTAGTGCTCGGGGGGGGGGGGAGGGGGCCTTTGGTGGTTGAAGCCCCTCTCACGCCCCCCCCCCCCCAACCAAAAAGCAAGAAAAGGAAGGAAAGACGAATGCTCTTTAGAAACCATATGATAAAGTGATGAAAATTGAAAGTCACGCATTCTCCTTCAAGACATAATAGGCAGTTTTGTTGAAGAAAAGTGTCTTAGAACCCACCGTGTGAAAACGTTTGAGGCACAGTGGCTCACATTCCTAAAAAAAAAAAATCAATTTTGTTGACTTTTCTGCACCTAAAATTTGTTTTGTTGATTGATTTAATGTCAAGTACTATTCTAGCGTAATAAGATGTTGAATAACATTTTATTACCGTGTTATAATATTTCTTAAGTTTACAAAGAAAAAAAGATACTGAAGCGTCAACAATACGGCGGAATCGGATGCAGAGTAAGAAAGATTCCGGGACCTCTTCTATCGGAACTTAAAAGAATAACAAATATATTGTTATTTGGAATGAAAGTAAACAGATTCTATTTAATCCAGCATGTCATGCCTGTCAAAGCAAACTTCAAAGCTCTGCCCCTGGACCACGCAGTTTGTGGCTGCGCTCTACGTACTGGAACCCAAAACATTATGTTTAAACCCCCTCTTCACAAATCCTGCACACGCCCATGGTATTGGTAGCCATGGCAACAGGAGTGATTCGTACCAGTTAACATTTAAGGAATCCTACCTCAATGATGGTGCCACATTGATTGTATTCTGTAGTGAGAGTGATCTCATTAGTGCTATCGTTCTTTACACCGGAGCAGGATCGGTCTTTAAAATGAACAGCAGATGCTTCACCTGGGACTAGCCGTTCATCTATGTTGACGGTCATTGAAGTACTTCCACACTCAACAAATGTCACTGGTATAAGAGAATTGTCAAGAGCAAAGAAAATGTCAATTACGTCACCCTTTTCATAATTATCTCTCAGGTGTCAGAAGTGAAATTTGACGTAATTGATTAGGGTGTGTGTGTGGGTGAGGGTGTGCGTGTGTGTTCATGAAGACGGGTTGTTTAAGCATCCGGGAATGTGGTTAAAGAAATTAAGATTTTTGGAGTGTATTTCGTTTTAGACGCCGTTGAATTATAAGGAGATTTTAAGCAATCTTAAAAGACTTCTCAGATGGTGGAAACAGAAGGACCTCACGGTGTTTAGAAAAATTCATTTATTTAAAACATGTAAATCAAATTACGTTTTTAGCTTCACTAGTGGTTCCAAAATGGGTCATATTGGAAATACAGAAAGAATGTTTTACATTTATTTGGAATAGGAAAGATCAAATTAAGAGATTAATATCATTGTATTAATGTTATAATGAAGTGAGGTTACGAATGACTAATTTTGACTCGTTTTTAAAAACCCAACGTGTAATGTGGGTAGAAAGACTATTGTACGGAGAAAAGCAATGAGATGGAAGCTATACTTTGATTTCTGCTTCAAGATGGTAGGAGGTAGATTTATTTTCTTGTGTAACTACCTGAGTTCTTTTTAGACAAGATAAAAGCATGGGAAGAGTTAGAAGGTTGTAGGAATGTTTCTCAACAACAACGATTTATTTTTTTTAAAAGAAAATGATCTTTGATGAGGAGTTGTTTACATGCCATATAATATCAGTTCAAGATATTTCTGCTGAAAATGGCATGTGGTCAATATCTAATTTTCAACATTTAGGGTTAAAAGGAAACAAAATTGTTGATGTATGGACTATTGGGGAAGCTATTTTGAGAAGCAGAAAAAAGGATAACTGGAGTTTAGTGGATGTAAAAGCAGTGCAATGCAGTTTAACAGTAATGTGAAGTTCCTCAGAGATTTAATATTGAGGAAGGTTTATGAATACTTAATAGAGAAGTTAGACAATTCCATTATTCTGTCGCTCCAATTTTGAGGAGGCTAGGAACAGTGTGTGGTATATGTGCAGAAGTATGGTCGGGTGGGGTGTGTGTGTGTGTGTGTGTGTCGCATGGTGGGGGGGGGGGTAGTAGTGTGTGAATGAGGGTGTTGAGAGTATGTTTAACATAGTGTTCTTGATCATATATATGAACAAGTTTTCTAAACAGTTCTTTTTATTATTGCAATTTAGCTTTCATCCAATGTACAATGTATCCAGTTTTGTTAAGAATGATTTGTACAATATGTATTTGATTTGAGAAAAGATAATACAAAATGTCTTTTTTTAATTTGAGGGTGTTCTTGTGTGTGAGTGTATGTTATTGTGGAGTGTACACGTCTGTTAGTGTGCATCTGTATTGCAGATATGGTGGTTTTGTTTTGGGAAGGTAATTAGGGAGGGAGTTTTAATGTGTGTTATATCATAACTGATTTCATTCATTATTTTTATCAAAACTTATGAATTGTACATGTATTAAATTATTTTTGTTATGTGATTATGATGAGGAAACAAATTGTCTTTTTGTATGATTATTAGTATTGTTTTGATATTGAATGAAACCGAAATAAAAAAAAAATTGCAATTTTTATTTTTCAATTTTTTTAAATATTTATTTATTTTTTATTTTATTTTATTCTTTATAATCCTGGCTAAATCATGAACAGGTATTCGTCCAACACAAGAAAAATATTCAAGAAACTTACGTTTATCTTGACAAAAATCGCCACCGAATCCTGCTGGACATGTGCAATTGCCTTGCTCACAGCTCGCTCCATTGAGACAACGGTTATCACATCCATCTGAAAATATTTAGAGACAACAGTTGCTTTATTAAATGATGTGGCTCCAGAAAGTACGAAGGTAAAGAGCTAATTGTAAAACAATTTTTGTTGTCATTTACGAGTTCGAGTTAGATTTGCTGTCGTTTTTGCTACTTTTCATTTCTGTTGTTAAGATATCAATGTGGGCATGCGTGCATGCCCACATTGATATCTTAACAACAATGGCAAGTGTTCTTAAAGAAAAGCTTGAGTTCTGGCAATGGTAGGAAAAAAATTCTCACAGAATCCCAAAAAACAAAAACACTGAATGTCAATGAATACATATAGATGATGACTTATGCCAAACGATTTTGGTAGAGAATATAAAGGGGCTGAGTAGTGAGCAAAGAAAGATTTATAAGGAAATTTAAGGTAAGTAGGCCCCGCATCATTGGTCACTATGTGCAAATGGTCGTTTTTATTTTACTGGTTCAAACAGTCAACCTACCAAAGGATAAATAATCTAGAATGAATTGTAGCCATGTTCTCTTGACATACGAGGCCCATACCAGAGCTTACAATTAGCTTGAAGGAAACATTTTCTTTTTGTTTTAATAGACATATTTAGATTAAACCTCCCCTACCCCCAAAAAACAATAAACAGGTTGCTGTCCTTTAAACCCAAACATCCAACAATTGTAATCTTACAAGGACTTTCAAAAATCTAATCCTATGGCTCGTAATGTATACGTCCTTTACTCCCGGGGGTCAAATATAAATACTGTGAGATTGGGTGACCAACAAAGCGTCTTTTCAGATTGGATGCCACGCGGCGGCAATAAGAGCTTCAAAAATATCAATTTTGGGCCATTTTCAAGAAAACGGTCACTTTTTTCAAAATGGTTCAAAATCCTGCTGTATGCGCCGGTATACGCGTATAGGTTTTTTTTCTAGCCCTCAGGGCCAGACTGGGGGGGGGGGGGGGGAGGGGGTATTAATTTCACATTGGTGAGACGTTTCAGGCCGCCGCCTGGCGCGCCACCTAGCCAGTTATAGCAAAGATGATAGACTGCGGCGCTCTGTCATCTTTGGTTATAGTGTGGACGACGGCCGCGAGAGGTAGGTAGCATGGCAGGGTATTGCATGCACCCAGAGTCTTTTCTCTTTGCAATACACCTTAGCTAGCTATTAAAGCACTCGCCACGCGCGTGTTGTGTAGGCTTACACTTTCTTTAAATACCCGTTTACAGGGTGTGAATTCGGGGAAAAAACCACACGAAATCCTCATTTAGGGTGTATTTTGGCTTCAGAAGAAATCCTTGTTTAGGGGGTGCCTGGAAAACATGTGGTCACGCAGGAAGCTGTAATGAATGGAGATACCGTCTCGAAAGAATTTTCCGAGGGAAAATTATTCAAGATTAACCTGGCTTAACAAAAAGAAATGTAACCCTCTCCAGCCATCATTTCCATCAACAGCTGTCCATATCAATGCACAGTCCCTCTCTGGCATTCCAAATAGTACGAAATGTTACGCAACGCCTCTGCTTCCCTAAGTTCTCTATTCACTCGTTTGCAAAAATATGCAAGCATCGGGCTTTGAAGCCATGCGTGGCACCGACAAATTAAGTCATGTTCATGGAAGATGTATTTAGCTATAACATATAAAATGCAGAATTCACAACATATGACCAATGCAACTTTCTATTAGTCATCAAATGCGTTTTCCGTTCTGGGATAGCTCTACTAAAGACATGGCCATTTTAACCAGCGAAATCGACCAAGGAAATCATGAGTTAGAGCGAATGAAAGATTTTCATAATCATGATTTTCTCGTCTAATTATTGACATTTTCCGAAAATTTCCGAAATTTGTACATAGCTAGGAAGGTAGTCCAAAGGTTTATCTTCCTAAAGAACTAAATGAAATTGTGTTATATGTTTGCGCATTTATTGATTTAGGGCTAGAAGTTGTCAAGTTAGCACCACTATTCACCCAAAGTACGGGCCGGCAAAGCAAAAGCCGCCGTGCTCGCTGGGCTGGGCTGTGTGTGGAAAGGACTTAGTGCTACTAGGGAGCTGTAAGGTTTTGGAGGGGGATTAAGGGGATTACGGTAGGGGAAACAAAAGACGCGCGGTGCCACGGATGACTTCAAAGGGGCCTCTTGGACGGGATCTCCATTCATTACAGCTTCCTGGGTCACGCATGCTATACAGTATTTCTACATGACTGAGACCCCTGGGCCTTTACACCGAGCCTATACACAAAGAGAGTGATACAGTGATTTACTTAGTAGTCCGGCCTTTCAGCCTTAAACAAAAAAGGGGTGGCTTACTTAGTTGATTTCGGGCTACCCAACATTCGTGAATAATCAAGCCCTTAGTAGTTACTATATTCACACAGAGAACCAGTGAATCCAGGTGTACAATATAGGGACTTTTAGATTTACACGACGAGAACGTGGACCGCCACGTATGACATCATTTTAAGGTAATGTGACGTCCTTTTAAGACACTGCCGGGCACGGCCCAGTGCCTTAACACAATGTCACACGCGGCAGTCCACGCTCTCGTCCTGTAAATCTAAAAGTCCCTATTAGGATGGCAAATTCATGCAGGTAACTTACCCGCAGTCCAACAAAATTAGAGACCAAATATCAATTGCTTTAAATTTTCTCAATGTTTTTTAATTTTTCTAATTCGATTCTAGTTTGATTAATTTTGGTATGATTCAAAACAAATAAATATATAATTGGAAAGTAAAATCCTGCTTTCATCAGAGTGTGCATTTAAATGTACGAAGCAGAATCTGAATGGCTATCGCCAATTTAATGAGCTCGTAATACACAGCTTCTTGTCCTGTAGGATGTTACACTGACTCCTTGCCATTGATCACATTTCATCCCGTTACAGTCAAACCTGCTTTAGTGACCACCTGTCTACAAAGACCACCCGTCTACAAGGACCACATTTTTAGTTTTCCTTGAACATGGTTTCTCATTGAAACATGTATTAAAGGAACCTGTCTACAAAGACCACTTTTTGCGTTTCCCTTGGGCAGCCGCTGTAGATATGGTTTTACTGTACAAAGGAATAGCAATTATGCTAGTGAGCTCCCTAACTGAACGTACATTTAACATACATATCCAAATACAGCAGGGATATTGAAACATAATTATAAACAAAATTTTCCTTTTGTTAATACCTATATAGACCTTTATGAATGGGGGAGGGTTATTGGACCACATTTACCCTCCAGATAGCCAATGATATTTTTTCCACAAAACCCAAAACATCTCCATTTTTAAATTTACCAGCAGTCTAGAAAAAGCAGAGTTTGCCAACATAAAATTAGTCTTTTGTTTTTTACCTAAATGACAGAAGTTTCCACTGAAACCCTCGGGGCAAACGCATGTATCGTTCTCACATGTTCCTTCATTGAGACAAGGGTTGGTCGGTTCACATAGAACTGTTGGAAAAATATAAGAAACACAGTGGTTGACAATCAAATCTATATTCCTATGTGGTCTATCGAAGTTACAGCAGTGATAAATAAACTGGATGAGACAAACAATTAACGTGTAGCTTTAAAATTTCTTGTTCCTCCTATAACAATGCTTCCTTTTGTTTTGGAAATTATTACAAAGCTTGCAAAAGCTTGTCTACGCTGGAATCGCTTTTGTGAAACGCCCCTGGTGTTTTACCACTAGACGACGGAGGCGGATAGAGAGGTATTCTGCTACACCAGATGCAATCAACGACAGACAGCCTCTCAATCTAGTTTATTTGTGCCTTTCTTGCCAAAAATCTTGCCAGGAAAACTCCCGCCACAAATAGGCTAGTCACTTTACTGATTTTCTCTTTGCTTAAAATCTGATAGCTTTATACTTCATTCCAGTTATTGAAATGGAAGTTATTAATGTTATCAATGAAATGAAGAATAATCAGAGTTCTGGTTATAACAGAATTATAATCTCTTGAAAAAATTGCACCATATATTGTTCAACCTTTAGTTCACATTTTTAATATTTGTCTCTAAATACAGGAGTTGCACAATTAGCTAGGGGGGGGGGGGGGTAAGAGCACAGTTTTTTTTTTTGGGGGGGGTCCAAGATTTGAGGAATTTGTTTTCAACGACTCAGCCAGTCGGTGAATAAGCAGGGGGGGGGGTAAGAGCACATTTTTTTTTGTTCGTTCAAGAAATTTGAAAATTTGGCCGACCAATATTTCGTTCAGTTAGGAAGAGGGGGAGGTCACTTATTTGGGTAACCTTTTAGCACACACACATCTTTTGTTCTTTTTTTCTTCAGATAATCTGACAATTTGAGTAAAAACGGACTATTATTAATGATAAAAATTGGGAAAAACTGTTCTAATCGATTCCTTAATTCTCCCAACTATATTATTACAATTTAATTGCATTTTAGGTGAATGTAAATCGTCACAAAAGAGTTTCATTCCAGAAGTATCTTAATCTACACAAATTCAAATTACAACAAATTATGAAAAATAGAATTTATTGCTAGAATTTCTTTTTAAAGATAAGCAAATTTATGTATGGCAATATCCCTACCATTAAAAAAACAGGAGTGATAACTAACAAGGGAAAGAGGTAAATTAAAAGAGATCCGTTGCTTTACTCGAATTAGTTTTGGAATGAAACTCTTGTTATTCGAAAATGCGTACTTTACAATAAATAACGATTCTACAGTACCTTTTCCTATCTCACGAAATGTATCTGAGACTTCGAATAACCAACTTCCTTGTACTCCATAGTTACTACCTGTCACAAGATCATCCAAGGTAAGTTCTAGGTGGCGAAGAGTTCCGTCTGGATAATACATCCCAACCTTGATAAAGATAATAAAAATGATAGTAATAATGATCATTATGATGATGAAGATAATGGTGATGATGGTCAGTAATGACAATGATTGTGATGCTGGTGTTGATGATGAACATGGTGGTGATGGTGATGATGATAATGATGTTGGCGTTGATCATAACAATGATGATGGTGATGATGATGGTGACGATGATGAAAACTGATGGGGATATTGATGATAACAACAAGTATTGATGGGACTCCTTGTGTTATCCATTAAATAACATCATGTTATTAGCAAGATTTGAAAGACATCCTACAATCCAGTGTTAAATCAAAATCTCGTAGAAATGAGTAATGACAGTTTTTTTAATGATATATTTCATTTTAAACGTCAGATGCAATCTTAAAGATACTCTGTCCCTTTTGCAGACAACATCAAATTCTGTAGAACTTTGCAGGAATTATGAATATGTCATGTATGCCCTATCTGTGAAATTCAAACGTTAGCAGTGTCCTAATATTCAAATTATGCAAGGAAACCTGTTTACTTGCTAGACTTCACTGACAGACACTATTGAGTAACTGACTGGCTTTTCTTCTTCTTTGGTAATAACATTCATAAAATGAGCTGTAAAGGGTACATGAGCATTTGTCTACATCAATAACCCACTTATTGTAATGGTCAAAATTGAACTGATTGCATTTTTGCGCAGCATAAAACCTACGACCATTCCGTACAATTGTCGGAAAATCAAACTATTACTTACTGGCTCTATCAAGCGCGTACTGGTACGCAGGATTTTTTCAAGGAGGGGGGGGGGGGGGGCCGGGGGGGGGGGGAAGGTGAGAGGACATATGTTTTTCTTTCCTTTTTAGTCCCAAAGATTTCGCGACGACTCAGCCAGTCGCTGAATTAGGGGCGGGAGGGGGAGGGGGGGGGGGGGGGTAAGAGGACACCGACATCATCATACAAGTACAACTAAGATAACATATTGCAATTTATAGAGCTTAAGTTTATGCATTATCATCAATAAATTGTTTTTTTTTTTTAAAGTCTGATTATGTATAATATTTTAGGCATCCCCTGATGCATTTCCTGCAGTCGGAAGAAAAGACTTACGTGTTATAGGAATTTCACATTCCTTTTTTTAACTTCCAAAGGTGCAGCAGGGGAAGCCAAATTTATTATTTCATACTTTGTATCCTATGTGTAATTCTATTGTGCCTTCTATTGTATGTTTGAAATGCCAAATAAATAATAATAATAATAATAATAATAAATGCCAATGAGAAGTCAATAAAAGTTGTTCTCGCATAACACCTAATACCTTCCTTATCTAAGTGTTCTTACAGCATGTTTGTCAAGGTGGGAACTGCATCAGTAACGTAACACTTCGCTTTATATGGTTTACATCGAGTATAGCGGGAGAACTGAGCATGTCAGCTTTGCACGTTCCCGTCTTTTCCAGGCTTTTCATAACAACCGATGTCACCGCGATAGGGCGTAAATCCCCATTCGTGTGGGGCGATTGTTCTTAGGTACTGGCGTAAACACGGTCGCTTTCCAACAGGCAGGTACTACTCTTTCGGAGATCGACATCTAGAATATCATAGAGTATATGGGACGTGAGTTGGAATGAGCATGTTTTCAGTACTCGTCCATTCACACCGTGAGGCCCCATCTGTGCCTTTCGAGGGTAAATGAACTTGAACCGTTTGCGAACATCCGATTCATGGATCACAAAAGGCTCGCAGTCATTTTTATTCTGTTACGCAACGGTGTTAGTTGTTCGTTGAGCTCTTCTTGACGATCTTGGTTTTCGAAGTGGTAGAAACCCGGCCCCCCCCCCCCCACTCAGGTTTCAAAATGACCGCATGCGTGTTGCCAAAATGTCCTTTTCGTAACAAAAGAAAAAGGTCGAGCCGTATTGACTTTACACACCGGACTTTTGCTGAAAAGGGGGGATGCTGAAAAGGCTCGTATACAAAGAAAAAGGTCGAGCCGTATTGACTTTACACACCGGACTTTTGCTGAAAAGGGGGGGGGGGGTCGGTTGGAACACGCATATGCGTACCCTAAATAACACTGAGTGGGGGGCCGGGGGTAGAAAGGATGAATTATGTTCATTTGCCTTTCCTTTTGTAATCTCTTCGTGCTCGACAGTGTTTCCTTGCTTTTTGTTGGAAAATTCCGTCAATGCTTCTAAGGATTTCCATGCATTCCCGGGATTATTTGTCATTAAGCACCGTTCCAGCTTTTATCTGTGTTTTCATTTTGCTTCACTGACTTGTCTTTTTTTATTTATCTCGTCAGTTCTTTCATCCGATTATGATTTCCATTCTTAAACTCTTTTTCTGTATGGCTGCTTTTATCTTTCTATTAAACCAGGGCTTAGTCGAAGGTGTAAGTCTTCACAGAAAGTGACATAACTATTTATTGTATCTGTTAGTTCATATATGTCATCACATTCGTCACGAAATACGTCTGAATCAGTGATATCAAATGCGACTTGTAGCATTACACTCCACTAATTGTCCCACTCTTTTATCACCCTTTCCTTGGCTTTTAACGTTTAATCTTTTTATCTGTACCTAATTGGCATAAGATGGACAGCATGGGGATCTGATGCACCAATCCCATGTCGAATAAGAGACTTGTAGGCATCCCTAACTGAGCAGTAACATTTATCTAAAATGTTTTCTCCCCTAATTGTTGCTATATCAACATATTGGTAATAATGGGGCATAACAGTTTCCAAGGCATTTTGTTTATCTGAGGTCGGAGGTATATAAACTAAAAGTACATTGACTTGAGGGAATTTCTCTGGCAGATGAAAAGGGGCGAAATGAAACACACATCAGTTCGATGTCTCTTCTTCTTTTCCTGTTGAAGTACAGGCCATCATGTTGTCGGTGTATCTTCGTACTTTAATGTTGTGCAGATCTAATCTATATGTGCGGTTAACAAGAACAGGCGCAATCCTAGCGCAACAGTGTTTTCTGCATCTCAGTCTCATATGCTGGACCAACCATCTGGAACACTCTACCACAACACCTCCGCCTATGTAGTACAGAAGACACTTTCCAAAAGAAACTTAAAACCCAACTCTTTCCATCTTGAGTTCATAATGTACGTTTTGAGTATCTAAATTTATTTTCGTTCATAATATCTTAATTACTGTTCCTTGTTTGATTGCTATGATTTTTATGTTTCTTTTCTGTTATAATAGCGCTCTGATCAGTTTGTCTGTAATAGCACTCAAGAAGAATCAATTATCATTATTATTATTATTAAAGCTGGCTACTGAGGTACAAGCGATTGTACTTGCAGGGAGAACGACGAGCATATGGGACATGCATCTTCTTTTGATTGCCACAAAGAGAAGTTGAGGCCTTTGAAGTATTGTGCAGCTGGTACATCAACCAAGGAGTTGAGCATACTTACGGTACATCATTATCAGCTTGTACTGAGCTCGCCTTTCTTCAAGGATGGGCCACTGCAGACGAAGGAGCATGTTGGTGACACTGCTTGTGCGAGGGTGGTCTCCTATGGAAAACCTGGTGTACTGCCATTGCACCATCTCTAGCCTCCGAATATTATTCGCATCCGTATTCCAGGACAGGTCTGAGGAGAGCCTTGTAGCATAGCACCTTGATGTTTCTTGGGCCGGAGCTCACGTTGTGTTGCAAGAAGGCACGGGTGGAGTTTGCCTTCTTGGCAACCATGCTTATATGGTGATTCCAGCTCAGGTTTTGCTGTAGACCAAGATACTTGGCAGAGCTGATATTTTCTAGTGATTGACCATGGATTGAGTATGTCTTGTTGATTGGGGTCCTCTTTTTAGTGACTGAGATGGTCTGAAATTTCTGAGGATTAAATGTCATCAGCCAGTCTGATTTCCACTGCTGCAGGGAGTTGAGATCTTCTCGAAGTTTTTTCTGCATCATCCTTAAAGCAAGTCTTGCGGTAGAGGAGACATGTCATCTGCAAACAATCTGATTGGGAAGATACACTATAGGGTAGGTTGTTGATGTAAAGTAGGAAGGGGAGCGGGCCGAGGACACTACCTTGCGGTACCCCTGATGAGACTGAGACAGTGTCTGAGGTACATCCATTGAGAACTAATTTCTGTGTTCCGTTGTGGAGGAAATCTTGTATCCAGCTCAGTGTAGACTGATAGATGCCATAGAATTTAAGTTTGTATAGAAGTCGATGGTGAGGGACGTTGTCGAAAACCTTTGAGAAATCTAACAAAATCATGTCGTGCTGTTCGCCTCTGTCTAGTCCCTTGGCAAGGTCGTCACAGGTGAGGATGAATTCGGTGATACATGAACGACGTTTGCGAAATCCATGCTGGGCATTTGAAAGGATGTTATTTTCATCAAGGTGACTCACGGTGCAGCTGCAGATGATATGCTCCAAGATTTTGCATGGAATAGATGTCAGAGAAATGGGGCTATAATTCTGTGGATTGCTCCTATATCCTTTCTTTAACACATGATCAATATTTGCCATCCTCCAGTCATGTGGAACAACGCCTTGTTCAACAGACGCTTTAAATAATGTTGTAAGTACTGGGGTGACTTCATCAGCAAGTACCTTGCGAGTAACCCAGCCGACATTCAGTCCGGGCCTGTTGCTTTGTGGGGATCAAGTCCAGACAACAGTTTGTTGACACCAGCTGGAGAGATGTCAATGTCTTCCATGGAGGAATAAGGAATATCACCTTTGTCTGGGATATTAGTTGAGAACTCATCTTTGGTAAATATTGATGCAAACTGTTTGTTGATGGTGTCTGCCTTGGAGGTGCAGTCATATTGGATGATTTCTCCAGTTGGATACCATTCTTACTGCCAATGAATGACCAGAACTGTTTCGGGTTGCATTTGGACTGATGTTCCTGATGTAGTCATTGCATGCTTGTTTGCATGCAGATCTTGACTATTTTTCAGGGCTAGGTACTTCTCTTCCAAATAATGATCCAATCTTATGGAGTAGAAGCCATTTATCGCAATGTTGTTGAATGGCCAGGTTTCTGTCATACATACAAGACTTGAGTTTCTGTATTCATGATCATTACTCACGTTTGCTTGCAGTTCGTCGATTTTGTTCGTAATTGATCTTCAGTACTAAGGTTGATTGTTGGTAGCGCAGTGCGATCAGGGGCGCCGGAAGTAGGGAGCAGAGGAGGGGGTGGGGGCGGTCACATTTAAATGTGATTTATTTTTAATTCGATACCAGTGATTTACAAATATAATGATTTTCCGGTATTTGGGGGGTAAATTATACTTCTTTATGCGTTTGTTGGAAAATTACAAATTCCCAAATTTACAGTCGGGCCAAAAATATACTTATTTCGAAGCCTTCATGTCAGCGCCTGCAGAACAGCGGGGCTCCGGGGACTCGAGCCCCACATATAATGAGTGACCTGCCAGTCTCACAAATGGGGTATCCCCCCTTGACCACTTTGAAAAACGTTCCGCGGGGCCCGCATGTAACATGTAAATATGGTGGTGATGCACATTTCTTCTTCTGCCCCAAAAACGTTTTTGCTCATTACGCCACTGGCCCTTAAAGTTGAGCACCCTAAAATGTTTGCCAATCCCAAACTGTTTACGGCGCGCCTCAAAGCGATGACTCCGTCTCCGAACCCCTCTATCTGATCCCTCCGTGCTTTCCTCTCCTGTTGGCACCCACTCGGGAAGGTCCGGGGGTCGGATCAAAGACGAGGGTATAGCGGTGAGGTAGAGCAAGAAATCTTGATCGTACTGTATATGGGTTGCAGGTAGTCCATTTTGGCAGTGGATTTCACAGACGAGACATAAACAAAACACAGTCAAACACAACCAGGTGAGGGTCACATTTCCAAAAATACATCCTGGTTTGATACACAGTCCAATGTCATATCACAGAAACATAATTTCTAGACACAATAACAGGAGCAAGAAGTCATGTAAGTATATTGGTCGCTACAGTGCAGCGCCCTCATAAATGGTAAATGCAAATATATGTAACTTACCAATATATTAAGGATAGATTGATGTTTAATATCTCCTTCAATGTGGGAAGAAGGAAAAATATACGAATGATTATACATGTAAATTACCACTTTGAGGGTATATAGAAGAGATGTTATTTAACGGGTTCTAACATAATTCGTTCACTTTTTTTCAGATTCTTCTTTTTTTTTTGTGTGTGCCACTATTTCTTACCCGATGTGCATTCCATCCGACTCTCTTATAGTTATAGATAACGTAAGTCAGCTCACCATCTGTTCCGATCAGTACTTGAAACGTACTGTTCTGAACATCAAACAAAAAGGGGAAAACATAAAAATAAGTGTTTTGATTTTTCAGGACATCACCCCCCCCCCCCCCCCCTTGAATCGTCTCATTGTATTTGAGTTCGCAACCAGGATTCTAAGGAGATAAGCTGAATCTAAGCTCACGTCTCCGAAAATAGTACCTGTTAACGAGCCACTTCAATGTCATAATTTCTAGAACGTTATGGTAGGTATACAATCAATTTTATTTAATATGGTTTTATTTCTATCTTGATTGATTTGAAGAAATGAGAAGGATTTTTTACGAACCTGATCGGGGCCTCGAAGTACATCTATCCATGAAACAACCATAATTGCGCCGCGTAAAGAATGGCCAAGAAACTGTGGTGCAGCGTTTCGAATTACACGCTCAGCTTGAGTGTATGTTATTTGGTCAGTTCCTTGATCTGATGTCCTGAAGGTTCATGAATATCACACAATGATAAAATGTAAACAAAGCGGGTCATTCAATGTTTGATGATCAAAGCGGTATTAGGAGTAAAAATAATTTGTTCAGAGTTAAAAAGTAGTAGGTACAGATAAAACCAATGAAAAATAAATAGAAATCAAAGCGTCCGGGTTTACCATATACCAGGCATACAGGCACATCATAACCGATGGGGGGGGGGGGGGGTGACGACAATATTGACTTGTCAATTTCTAAATTTTGCCAGCGACCAAAGAGAACCAAGCTTTTAAAATAGTTTATTTGGTAATTTTTTTAATTTCTTAATGAAGAAAAAAATTGACTTTTTATGTGGGCACCTCGCTTCCGAACACGATGTAGTGGCTGCCCAAAATGCAGATTGCAGATTTGTTTGCTCATAATACAATATTTGAATTTCTTTCTTGTCCGAAAATACTTAGGACAGATTACCATTACTACTAGATGTATGATCTTGAAGATTATGTCTTTCACGAGATTTAACACTGAATTTGTTTTTGCATGGTAGCTATGTTCAAGAATAGAATAAGAACATGCCTAGAAGAAAAATGAATTAATATAGGTTTATGCAGCTTTTGTCATACTTTCTTCATTCAAGTTCATATTCCGAGCATTCAAATTATTATTTACATACTGCGCTTTGCAGAGCGGCCCAAAGCGCTTACAAGAAGAATCCTACATAGAATGAGAATGAAAACTAAAAATCTGGATTACAAAAAAAGAAATGTTTAAAGTCCCTTTTTTAAATGAAGAGAAGAGAAAGATGGTGATTGCCTGAGTATTAAAGGTAGCCTATTCCAATATTAAGATGCAGTAATAGTAAAAGTCCTATCTCCAGCTAGTTTCCATAGGCCCGTCTTCACTATCTCGAGATTGCCAAATATCTAGCTATTTGAACTATCCCGATCGAAACTATCCAGCTAATTTGCGTCTTCATTAGACCGAAGTAGCAAATTAGCTGGATAGTTGGTCGGGATAATATCCCAAGATATCTCGGTCTAGTTTGCAAAATATCCCACTATTTCCCAACAAGCGGGATAGTTTGCGACCGTCTTCATTAGAACGAAGTACGGAGTCAAATATCCTTTGTTTGCGGGAAAAAACGCAACTGATCTCCCCTACCTTTCTTCTTTCTCTTTGTTTTCCTTTCCCTTTCTCTCCTCTTTCTCTTCCCTTCCTTCTCTCTCTCTCTTAGGTTTGCTGGGAGTAGGCGAGGCAAGGGCCTTTCGGCCCCACCCCGATCCACACGTTGTTGGCGGGATTAACCGCAACTGATCTCCCCTTCTTTTCACCCTTTTCTTTTCTTCGTCCTCTTTTTTGTTCCCTTTTCGCTCTCCTCTTTCCTTTTTCTTTCCAGGGCCGGGGCGGGAGGAGGCAAGGGCTCTTTGCTCCCCCCCCCCTGAACCACAACTTGTTGGCGGGAAAATTGCAACTGATATCCCCCCTTCTTTTCTTTTCTTCTTCCTCTTTTTTTCCTTCCTTTTATCTGCTCTTTTCCTTTTTTCTTTCCCTTTCCTTCCTTCTCTCTTATTTTTTTGATGGGGGGGGGGGGGTAGGCAACAGCCTGCGACGCAAGGCCCTTTCGTCCCCCGATCTCCTTCTTTCCCCTTTTCTTTTCTTTCTCTTCTTTCTTTCCTTTCTCTCCTTTTTCCCTTTCCCCTTCTTTTCCTTCTCTATCTCTTTTTTGTTGCGGGGGGGGGGGGGGCAAGGCCCGCTCGACCCCCACTTGATCCGCTTTTCTCGAATGGATGCGTTGAACTCACCACACCACGCCGCACCGCACCCTTTCGATGTAAGCCATTATGATTTGTCT